TCCAGCGTGAACCAGCACACCATAAATATATTGACGAATGTACTGGATGGACAGTTGTCCAACGCCGCGCCGCCGGGCTCCACTTGATGGGCAACTCGAGCGAACAAGGTCGGTTCCCCCCTCAGGGATCTAGCCTGCTCATCCCCGCCAACACATACCCTGCTAGCCCGCTGATTTGCTGAGCGCCGAGGGTGCACCTAGCGATCCCTACTCTGAACGAACTGGTCCGGATCGTCTCGAAGCGGGCGGGCACGAAGTGAGGTCTTTTCCCTCCGAGTCGCAATTGACTTTGAGCCGGGGGTCGCTACGGTTCTGCGTCTGGCGCCCAGAGGCGAGACGGATTGAGTTCAAGTCCTCCAACACACGAGGTTCAAGAAATGCGATGGCGGCGCGCACCCAGCCCAAGCAAGAGCGGGCCTCGCAACACCGCCGTGACCCGGGGCTAGACGAGTTGTCGTCGGGAGTCAGTTTTCGATGGTGCGGTTCCGTCGCCAGACTGGCGGGGAGGGTGTGGCTGACTAAAGACAAACTACAGAGGGGCTGTCAGCAGGGAACACCCTGAAACGACGGGACGACACTTGTGCATAGGGCAACGGCAGATAGCCCACACAAGCCCGGATCTTACTTCGTAGGGTCGAGCAAGGCAAGACATTCCAAGACCTTTCAAGTTGGCGTAGCCCGTAGTTTGTCTCGCTGCCAGCCCTAAACGGGACGCACGAAAAGGGACGAAGAGCAAAAAAGGAAAAGTTGAAGTGACAACAAGAGGTTGAAGACGGCTGCTCCGGGATGATGGTGAAAGAGATGCCGGGATTTCCTGCCTCCATGCCGTGATATTGGGGTGAAGGCTCACGCTGCAACCGTTGCTTGTGAGCCGTATTCTGCCTCCCGTTTTCCCAGCCGCCTAGGAGCATGGCAGCAGCACGAATAGAGCAGAGAAGCCATCGCCTACTCCGTACGTCCTCCGCACTTTGAACGCATCTCCGTAACTCGTGCCTAGACGCTAATACAACACATGTTTCCCTACCAGCTCCAGAAAAAGCTGGAGCTGTTTCGAGAAGAGATAAGGCCGATCAGAAAAGACTGGCCCGCGAGTCTCTTTCTCCGTCTAATGCAAGCGGCTAACTGAAAAGACGGCTGGGCCCATTCTCGCCTCCACTCCCCAGCCCTCCAAGCAACTCGACGCCGAGACGGCCACGGCACTATCTGGATGTAGGTAGTGAGGGTGGTCTTAAACTGATTCACTACGGAGTAGGGAGTTAGTTACCTAGAGTAAGTTGTTGTTCACCAGCCCGGCTGGTCAATAGACTCTTTGTCCGCCAAACGTTGTTGTCCCAATGGGACCGTGAATATGCCGCAATTGTGCCGTATACCGGGGTGTTCCATGGCCGGAGGAGAGAAGTACCTGCCATTCTCCGAACGCGAAATATCTTCCTTCTTACCTCCCAGCTCAATGTTGAGCGCGCCCTTTTTGAGTGTTTACGTAGTTAGATGAAACGGTTGGGGGCCATTGACTGATGATACGCCTACCAAGTAAAACTTGGCAGTCAAGGTCTGTACCCCCATCCAAGTGAGATGTCTCTCTCCCATGGCAAGAGAATGGCCCAGCATCCCCCAAGGTAGCCATCTCTCTAGCCAGCTGGACAGCATGGACAGAGACAGAGCCGAAGCGCGAGCCAATTGCCCTTGAAGCGCTTGTACAAGTCGGGCCCGCCTTCAATTGCCCATCCGTCCAGTCATTGCACTCCAGGCCATCCATGTTCACCGTCTCCACTGGCCTTCGACACACACCCCTCCCTCCATCTCCCCAGCCAGCAGCCCGCGAGCCTGTCCGCCTGCTCATCAGCAACACTGTAGCTCGGGTTTCTCTCTCTCTCTTTCTCTTTGAAGCATCACCGACGTCTGGGCTCCTGGCCATTCCGGCTGGGCGCCACACGGTGGACAAGACCGGACGGCGGGAACTCTGCTAGGAAGGGAGCACTGCGGCTTTGTGATGAATTGAATGCCTACTCCGTAATATCAGCCAGACCGTACACCCTCCCGGCCGGCTACTTTGTGAAGTCTCTGCATCCGCCATCTGTGTGCCATCTTTTGCCATCCCCACACCCATCGCAGCTTACCGAAGCACCACACCAGATCCTCATCCACATCTGTGCATATCCATCCGCAGCTGGCAAAGCGATGCAAAGCAAAGCACCGCAGGCAGAGCACAGCACAGCAAAGCAAAGCACAGGCAACGCGCATCATGGGCTTGTCTGACTGATTGACCCTTGTTTGTTGGCCCTCCACTCCAGCATCTACTTGTACAAGTAGGTATCATTATCAGCATAGCATCGTCGACTCGAAACTACCAAGTGGCTGTTTGTTCCATCTTGGCCTGGAGCTTTCGACACTTTCTGGCCCACCGCCACACACGCCCCATCGTTGTCTCTCTCCCTCTCTGTCTCTCTGTCTCTCTCTCTCTCTCGCGTGCAAACCCACCATGCTTTCTTTTCCGTCGTCGCTTGGGGGTCCCACGGCTTTGCTTCTGACAAGGAGGAAGGCCACTCGGTCAGGCCAGCCCAGGACCCAGCCAGCCGAAAAGGAATTGGCGGCCCCCGTTTTACTCTTGTCTTCTCTTCTTCCCCTCCTCTCGTTGTTCGCTTTGGTGCAACCTTGCCAACACCCACGCCCCCCTTCTCTTCTGGGTCCCCTCCCTCCCTCTCATGGGTCCCCCGACCCCTGTAAGGATAGGCCCTGGTCCGCGCGCAACCCTTGAACCCGCTGTTAGTCGAGCCACTAACACCACCCCAACCTCTTTCTTATCCTGCCTGCTCCCTTGCACCACCAAATCCCTCCCACACCCTGGTCAGCCATCCAGCCAGGCCAGCAAAGACTCCCCAGAGGTACGAGGTACTTTCGGAGACGAACCGGCAGCACGACTTTGGGTCAGAGCAGGAGGGGAGAGGGGCGGGCGAGCAAGAGAGAGAGGGAAGACCACACAAACAGACAGGACTTGAGTGAGAGAGATGGCTGGATTGTTGATGACCTACCCAGGAGGTACCTGACTTGCAAGGTTATTGAGAAGGCAGGTAGAGAAGAGCGTAGGTACGTAGGGCAAAAATGGTGCCCACGGTGGCTCGAATTGTAGTGCAAGTACCTGCGGAGTAGAGCTACCTATCTCCAGTACTCTCCATCCATCTCCATCGAAAAAAAAAAAATAACACACACCCACACTCGTTGGCTGGCTGGGATTTTTTGGCTCTTTGCTGGACTGGACTGGACTGGACCGATGGATGGCTCGACGACAAGACTGGAAGAAGCGGGCACACAAGAACAGCTAGAGCCAGAGGACCAGGACCACCACCAAACCGAAAACACCCCTGTTCTCTTCCACCACAAGGGTCTTAGATTAGCACCTCTGGTGGTAGGCAAGGTAGTGCTGGGTACCCGTACGGCATGTACAAGTACGTAGACCGGGGCCCTGTCCACTCCGTTTCCTCTCGCTCATCGCTCGCGCTGATCTACCATTGACCTGCCTCTTCTCACCACCACCAGCGAGCTTTTTCTTCTTTCTCATCCTCCTGTTCCCTCTCCTCCTCTCTTTTGCCTCCCCTCGACCAGTCCATTACGGCCCTCTCACACCCCTTGAGAGGATTAGAAAGTAGAGAGCGAGAGGTGAAGAAGGTACGAACAAGTCCTGCGCCTCCTTCCTGCCTCGTTGTGTTGCCGGCGTTGTTTCCCTACAGTTGGACCTCCACTTTCGTCCTTTTTTTCCCTGCTCGTTGCTGCTTGATATGCACCTTGCTCCCCCCCGCCTGCAACCTGCAGCTAACGCTTAACTCTTACATGACAGTCGCCCCAAAAAGCCTCTTCTTTCGCGGCCCTCGAAGGACACTCTTGTTGTGTATTCATTTATTTTTTATCCAGACGACGACACAGAGAGACCAGAGTACAGGCTTGACCTTGAGAGAGAGACCACAGGCCCGGACACAGAAACCGACAAGCAAGCGGGGTTGGACAACTAGTGCCGGACAGGAGCAGCACCAAGCAATCCTCGCTCGCTCTCGAAGCCCAAGGACCGACCACCACCACGTCTCACGCTTGCCGCGAGACTTGCTTTCTCCCAATTGCGACCGGCTATACATCTTTGGCATTGGGTCATAGGTTGTTGTTGTGTTGCAAGACGGCTTTCTTCCCTGGGACGAATTGGCTCATGTTACGATTTTAAGGACGCTCTTTTACGACCGGATTAACGAACCTCATTCTGGACGTCTTTGGGTTGGTGCGACAGCTGCCGCCGCTTCCCTCACCGCGGGTTTCCTTCCTTCACTCGAAGCGATTGATCCTGCCGCACTCGTTCGGCTGCCATTTGCTTCTCTGCAAGTCAATTGGACGGCTCTTTTTCGCCAGACGCTCTTGTGGAAGTGTACACTGCTTGCTCCGGCACGCCTAGTACGAGCAGCTTCACTCTGATAAGGTTGGGATAAGATACCCCTTTGTGCGGCATCTTTTCTCTCGCCTTGAGCCTAGGATCCTGAGCCTGTCTTCTCTGCGCAGCTCAGACCTAGCTCGCCATATCAAACCTCTCTAGAAATACATTGGCAGTCGAAAAGCTGGATCTCCCGTCGATCTCCGAGAGGCAAACCCGGGGTCCCTCAGAGGTACCGTTCTACAACGCTCACGCAGTGCAGCGGCCATTGTATATGAGCGAGAGGTTGCCATCTCTCCCCTTCCCATCACCTCATCAGGCTTCCTCCTCGGGTACCGCTTCACCCCGGGTTAGCTCCGTTGGCTCTTCTGCAAGCTCCAACGCAGACTCGCAGTCCTCCTTCACCTCCGTGTCCTCACACGGCCCCAAAACACCACCCTCCTTGCCGGGTGCTGCCTCTCTCCCAGGACCTTCGACGCAGTCGCTGGCCAGTTACGGACAATACCCAGCGATGAATCAGCCAGGCCCAGATATGTATTATCAACCCCATATGTCCGCGGCCCAGCCGCCGGCTCCCCAGACCTCGAGCGCCATGCCACATTACAACCCTCACCAGCAGCCTCCGCTAATACAACCTGGTTCCCAATACGCCAACACGGCTCCTTATGGTCAATATGGTTACCCTAATGGCTTAACCTCTCCCCCGACGGCCCCTCAGGTCTCGAACCCAATGGCTGCTCAGAACGTGCTACCGCCCCCCGGCATGACAGGGCCGCCCAACATGCCCGGCCAGTACGGGAACCTCGACACCACCGGCCAGATCGCTCCTCCCGGCATGAAGCCCCGTGTTACGGCTACCCTATGGGAAGATGAGGGAAGCCTGTGCTTCCAGGTGGAGGCAAGAGGCATCTGTGTTGCCCGTCGGGAAGGTAAGTAGCTGTGCATTCTATCATGGCACAGAGAGTCTCGTTTTCTTACACATGATCCTCAGACAATCACATGATCAATGGCACGAAGCTGCTGAACGTTGCTGGCATGACCCGAGGGAGACGAGACGGTATTCTGAAGAGCGAAAAGGTCCGACACGTCGTCAAGATTGGCCCCATGCATCTCAAGGGTGTCTGGTAAGTGGTTCACAAATCGGACTTCTTCTATTCAGTAGCGATTTTGCTAATTGCCGGCGCTTCAGGATACCGTTTGAGCGTGCATTGGAGTTTGCCAATAAGGAGAGGATCACAGATCTATTGTATCCTCTCTTCGTGCATAACATTGGCGCACTCCTCTACCACCCCACAAACCAGACCCGGACGACGCAGGTCATGGCCGCCGCCGAGCGCCGAAAGCAGGAGCAGAGCCAGATGCGCAGCACGCAGCCGCCGGCGCCGGGCCTGCCGGCGTTGCAGCCCCAGCATCATCACTCGATGGGCCTTCCTGGCCCCCAGTCGTCGCTCCCTTCGCATGCCAGCATGGGCAGACCTTCTCTAGATCGCGCCCACACCTTCCCGACGCCCCCGACTAGTGCATCCAGCGTCATGGGTGCTGGCATGGGTGCCTCTGATAACTTTCAGTGGTCGCAGCAGGGTATGAGCGGGGCTCAAGGTACAAATCCTATGTCCATCGACACGAACCTTAGCAACGCGCGCTCAATGCCTGCCACTCCAGCTACTACCCCTCCCGGCTCGTCCCTGCAGGGTATGCAGGCATATCCTCCGGCGACCCAGGCCTACGACAATTCCAGGCAGCTGTACAACACGCCGTCCACGCAGCAATCGCCATATCCTCAGTCGCACAACAGCCCGCAGGACCGCTCCATCTACGGCCAGTCGGCGTACGTTAAGAACGAGATGGGCCCTCCCTCCAGCAGACCATCTGTGGCTGGCCCTGGTGCTGATCAGCCCGACTCCACCAAGACTAATGGTATGATGCATGGTGGTCAGGCCGGCGAACCCGTTCCGCACCACGGCGAAGAGGAGGCCGAGCACGAGCACGATGCCGAGTACACCCACAACAGCGGGGCCTATGACGCGAGCCGTGCCTCGTACAACTACAACCCTGCTCCTGTAGGTGGCATGCCGACGGACCCCTCGCACATCTCAGCCGAGATGGCAGGCTCTGCCGCGCACCAAGCCGCATCAGGACGCTCCACCCCTAGAAGTGCTGCAGCTCCTCAGTCCTACTACACGCAAGGATACCAGACGCCGCCCCGGGCCCAGCAGGCCTCGAGCAATCTGTATAATGTAATGACTAGCGACCGAGGCGCCGCGAACGGCGGTCCAGGTGACGTCTATGCGCCAGCGGCCGATATGGGCGGCTCGCTGCAGAACGGCTATGGTGCTCCGGTCATGAACGGTGCCGGCATGAAGCGTGGCCGCGAGGACGAGGACGACTCGGCGTCAGGAGGCATGGGGGGCCTCGACATGAAGCGCCGCAAGATGACTTTTGATGGTTCCGTACCATCGCCCGTCTACGATACCATGAGCAGGCCAGCTTCTGCGATCGCGGCTCCGCGACGCAGATAACATGGGAACGAGATGATGGGCCCAACGCCAGCCTGTGCTGTCTCGTTACATCTCTGACACCACTGCGTGTTTCCGTACGTTTGAGCAACAGCCACAAACAAATATCCTCGCGCCGGCTTGCGCATACAACACTCCCTCAGCCAATCTTTTTTCATTTTCATCATTTTGTATTCGTTGGGAGAAGACTTTCTCGGCATACTTTGCAGAAGGAGACGCGCTCACGACACGACGACGACTTCTTCTGTTATTTACGTGTCCTGAAACGGTGTAAATGTCTCATGATTAACGCCATTCGCATGGAAGGGTCTAATTCTGAAGAGGCTTTGACCCCTCTACACACTTTGCCTTTGCAACATCCTTTTTCTTTTTTCTTCTTTACGCGGAACTGATAAACGTCGAATACGGAGTATTGAGATGCAAACCACCTGTCATGACCTCAGGTGAGGGAGCTATGGACGACGACAATGAAACGAGCCTCTTGGACCGCATAGTCTGTTCTCATTTAGCCAGCCCAGCGCTTTCTCTGGAGAGAAGGGCAAGAGCTTGGTTAAAGGACTGGGACGGCGCCGGGATGGGACCTCTGACGTTACCCATCGGTCCGCCGCTTTATTCTTTTTTTACGTGCGGCGGCCGAAGGGAACGGCAGATCCTGGGCTTTGATTTTTTTTGCGTTAACTCTAATGACGATAACGAATTTCCTTGACACGTTTATTTTTGTCCTTGTTCTTTTCATTATGGGACCAAAAGCCAGTTGCAAAGGGGGAGGAAATATCAACTCCTGGGGTTTTGGATGAGAGTGTCTGGATACACGCACCACACACGCTCTGCCTAGGCTACGAAGTTTACGACGGGCATCTTGGGAGCAAAAAGAAAAACAAAAAAGCTACCGCCCTAAACGAAGAAAGCTAGATCATTTTATTCCCCAAACTTTCATGATCCCGAAGTGTGACGTTCTTATATGACTGTGACCGTGTGGAAGAGCTATCCCACGGCTCGCCATATATCGTGGTATATGCTAACTGCCCCTGCTACTCACTTTTGGACTTTGGAGGCTGTGGCATTGGAGGAGATCGGATGATACATGATTTGTTCGGGTCGAGGCGTTAGACGGTAGAGACCTGGTTGCACTTGGGGGAAGCTTGAACGGCAATACCACACAAGGTACTGTTCCCTTTGGCTTACGAGACTTGCTATTTGCGACTTGCTGGTAGCATTTGCATGCGAGCTCGATGGTCATTGTGTGAGATTGACCAACATGCCGCTCGATCTTTCTTTTTAAGTCTTCGTATTCTATAATCTATTTGTTCTCTCAGGACGAGCTCTATGAATACATAGATGTATCATGAAACCACGAGATTTCCCGACGCAGATCGTATACATCCCCGTGTGCCCCTTGTTCCGGTCCTGAATAATTCCTCAAAAGAGTGCCCAAACGCCCTGTGCTATGCTAATGTGATATCTAAATGAAAAGGACCCCGTTCTAGGAAAAAAAGAAGCCGAAAAAAAGAGCAAGATTTGTATGCGCGTGGGCTGTCTAGACCTGCACGGCGACAGGTCCCTCGCCCAACGAGACCGTCTTCTCGAGCGACAACGTCTTCTCGAGCACGGGGGAGGTCGCCGACGCCGACGCCGCGGCAGCCGCGGCCGTGAGCTCGGTGAAGGCCTCGGGCCACAGGAACATCTTCTCCTCGCGCGTGGGCGACAGGGCGATGTAGCGGGGCACGGCCGTCCTGCTCGACACGCGGCGCCACATGTTGGCGCGGGGGTTGAAGCGCGCGGGCAGGCCGCGGCCGCGCGTCTGCGCGTCGTCCTCGGCCTGGACCCTGGCCAGCTCGCGCTGGATGTCGGCGAAGGTGTCGAAGGGAGTGTAGGGGATGCCGTTCTCGACGCAGTACTCCTCGAGGCGCAGGCCGCGGCGGGCGAAGAGCACGTCGGCCTGGCGCGCGGCGGGCAGGTCCGAGACGCCGTCGCCGATGAAGACGATGAGGGGCACGGTGCCGTCCTCGCAGGCGAGCTCGGCGGCGCGGCGGGCCTCGGCGACGGACTGCGCCTTGTCGTGGCCCAGCTCGCTGCCGCCGTGCAGCCAGACGGGCCGCCAGGCGGAGCCGTCGGCGGCGATGTCGGCGCCGTTGGCGACGATGTCGATGTGCGCGGACCGGTCCTCGCCGAGGAAGGCGTCGAGCACGCGGCGCAGGACGGGCTTGAGCCCCGCCGAGATGACGTTGAAGGGGATGCCGTTGTCGAGGCAGAACTGGTGGAAGGCACGGAAGTCCGGGTCGATCTCGAGCTCGCGCTCCATGACCTCGAAGCCGTCGTCGAAGGGGACGTTGAGGGAGCCCCACATCTCCTCCGAGACGTCGCGGAAGGACCGCTCGCCGGACTTGATCTGCTCGTCGAGGATCTCGCGCCGCTTGGAGCCGCAGCCGTGGTTGTCAAACAGGATGTGGCCCGTGTCCTGCATGAAGATGGTGCCGTCAAAGTCTGCGCCAAAGGGTTGGGTTGTTGATCAGCACAAGGGTTGTTTTGTACAAGTGGGGAGGGCCGATAGGGCTGCTGCAGCCCCCCTGGGCGAAGATCGCTTACCTGAAAAGCAGATGATCTTCCGCTTCTTGTCTCCGGCGGCAGGCACGGCGTCTGAGACGGCCTGGGCCGGCGCGTCCTTGACGATGACAGGCGGGGGCGTGATGGCGATAGGCATGTTGATGGAGTTTTTGACAAGCTGCAACCAAGAACCAAAGCTGTCTATGTCTAGTCGAATATTGCTTGTTGGGCTGTGAAACGAAGCTCTGAAGCAGGGAGAAATCTAAAAGTGCAGGATCAATCAAGACTGTGAATCGTTTATATACGATGAAGCCTGTGGAGAAGTGTCTGGAGAACACAGGAGGCGAGCCGGAAGGAAAGCTCGAAGGCCGTTAGTTATATAGCCCGGGTTCCCCGAGACACCATCGTGAAAGGCAGCCGAAAGGGCCAGTCCACCGTCATCGCCCTCCTACGTCGTCGTACATGACAAGAGATAAGAGGGTCATCGAACAGACTGGTTACGCGACTATGAGCGGTCCCACGGGGCGCAATAGCGCATCCAGACTGGACTAGGCCGCGACAAGACCCTTCTCCCGGTGGGGACCAGGACGCTGGGAACGGGAGGCAAATCGTCACCGTGCAGGACAGTCCATGCCCGCCATGCCGGAACCAGTCGTGCCAGTGCATTCCAGGGGCAGCGCACTGCTGTGTTGGGTCCACATTCCGGAAAGTCTAAAAGATTTCTCTCCCCGGCGGACTAGGTAAGGAACCACTTCAGTTGCCCAAGAGCGAATGGCCAAGGCCCGAGGAGGGAGCCGCAGGCCGTTGCCACCCAGGGCAGAGGCGACCAGTGGAAGTGAGACCGTACCTTGGCTTCCCGGCACTTCACCGAGTGTGTGTACCTAGCTTGAGCCCGACAGGTACAGAAGCAGCCGCAACGGATCGAACAGGCAACACGACCACTAGGCGTAAAGCCCAGCCAACCCTCCTGGGATGACCATCTCGCAGAGCCGCACCGATCCGTGTAGCACAGCAGTCTCTGTGCAAATCTTGCGGCTCGACCTCCTATACTCCCCGTCCACACAACGTCCGTCTGTGGCATCACAGTTGCCAGGCATCACTTGAAGGTCCATCAGCAAAGCAATGCGCTCCCTTATGCTCAATGACGGAATGAGGAGCGGTGAGGGGAATGCAATGTCCCCCTGCCAATGCTGCACGCAGGGGCTTAGAACTACCTAGCTCCGTATGCAGATATCCCGCAATGGTCTCTCTGCGTTCTCGTGTAAGCAGATTGCGAGAATTGCCGCGGGGACAGCAAACATGCGGCTTTGCTCACGATGGTGATGATGATGTCATTTGCTCCTTCGAGGCTAGTCAGTTAGCGTGGGTGGGCCCCCACGCAGAACAAGACTGCCAAGCCCGTATCAAGATGAGGTTAACACTGTTAGGCTGCAGAAAGAGGTGAGATCCTGGTCCAGGTCGGTCGCCTGTGGCTCCTGAGTGGATTCGGACTTGATGTGATGGCAAGAATCTAGTTTGCGAGATGAATCTGAATGGAAAGGGGCCCGACGCCAAGACAAACCATGACAAGAGAAGAGCGAGATCCTCTCACACATTGTGCGAAACTAGAATGATAATTGGTTTATCAGAGGAGGATCTTATCTTTTCCGCTAAACACTTAGCCGCCCGGCCATCTTGCCATGCTGACTGATATGGGGCCTTACTTCGCACTACCTGAGTGTTGCAGACTGGAGGATGGCTTGAACAACTTCTGCTGGGTGGGTGGTGTCCGTCTTCGAATGATAGGTACAATGCGATCAGTGGCATCTCGATCATATGGAGGTTGCATAGATAGGGAGAGGCAATGGGTTGGCCTCGTCGCGCTTTTGCCATTCTTTTCTTCATTATTCTCGTGTGACGATAATTTTTGCTGCAGCTGGGTCCGGGGCATCGAACAGTCCTGTCTAATCATAACTCATTCGCCAGTCTATGCCGAGACTTTTGCGCTGTACTTCGTGGCTGCCTTGTCAAACAAGGCACTCTTCTCCTCCAATTCGACTAAGAAGGGGTGTTGGGGGTCCGCCTTCTTCAATGAGCTGGTCGGAAAGAATTAGTACTTTCAGTCCGGCACATTCGCGTCCGCCGAAATGCGGCTGTAACTCACCTCGTCAGCTCGGCAGCATCCTTTCCAGTGATGACCGCAAGGACCAGCTGGTTGGCAATGGCCTCTGTGTAGTTGGGCTCCTTCTTCACCGCCTGATCCAGCGCGGCCTCGGCCTCCTCTGCCCTGCCCAGGTGCAGTTCCGCGACCGCCTGCGCGACCAGCGTCCGCACAGACGAGGTCGAGGGTGCCTGAGCGAGCTCCTCAAAAACGTAGAATGCCTGCTGATACTTTTCGCCGCCCTGTGTTCCCTTGTCAGTATCATCCCGGAGACAAATGATGACTATCCTCGTGTCTCGTCCGACGTACCAGCCGTAGACCAACCCATGATTCTGCGAGGTTGACCAAGAGACTATCCTGAGCCCACCTCCTCGCCGCCGTTACTTCCTTGAGTGCTAGGTCATTTCGGTTCTGTTGTAGGTGGATTTGGACGATGAGCGCGACGGCGTCCACTGCGACAATCTTACGTTAGCCCCTCGCTCCTCGCGTCCAGGACCAATTGAGACATACGGTTGCCAGAGTGCTGTGACAGCAAAGCCAGGGCCTCGTCCGGCTTGCCGGCGGCCTGAAGGACAGTGCCACCGATGACCTGGACCGCATTGTTATCGGCAGCCTCCTCTGCAAGCTTCTCCGCCGTCTTGACCGCCGAGTCGGTCTTGCCCAGGGTGAGCTCGGCCAGCGCGCCGACGGCAATCAGCTCGGGCTCCTTCTCCCCCTTCACATCGGCGACGACATCGTCGGCCTGGCCCAGGGCAATGCGAGCGCGCAGCTGGAGGACGCGGGCAGGGAGGGCGTTCTCCGGAGACAGGGTGGAAGTGTCGTAGTCCACCACCTCCTGGAACTGTCCTTGGTGGAAGTGGTTGTGGATGTTGATGAGCTCGCCTTCTGCTGAGTAGGGGTCCATCTTGGCTTATCTTGTCTCGTCGCAAAGGGCGGTGCGCGAAGGTCGTTGTTGAGTGAAGGGAGCTTCGATGCCACCTTTGAGAACTACACGTGGAGCGTCGAACTAACTTGGGACCCCTTCGAGGGGCATGGTCCGTGCGTCGCCCACTTGTACGAGGGTTCGAGGCAAGGAAAGATTGGACAGGCAAAGTCTCTTTACAGCCAGTTAATATGTAGACCATGAACAGAATTTACATTCTTAAACAGCCACAAATCCATCATTATTTCGCAGTAGAATAATATCCCGAGCTCATCAAGAAATGCCAATATCATAGTGTTTCTTGACGAGTCTCGTGGGATGGGATGGGTACTCATTCTTATCTTATCGCCGCCTGGAGGAAAGCTCCACCACATCGAGCGATGCCGTCAGCGCTTCCACAACTTCGAAGCCATCGAAGCCCTTTGATGTCGACGGCAACGCTTCTCGGGAGATAGGATACACGCAGCCGGGGTCGGCTGAAGTGACATTGAGCCACGGCATATAGTAGCGCTCGATCACCTTCATTTTGTGAGTCCCTCGGCCAAAGATGTTGAGCCGGCGTCTGCTGTCGATGCGCCCGGCCCTGGTGCGGTCCTGGCCGGCTAGCCGCAGCAGTTCAGCGCCGCAACTGCCGGTTCTTGGCCGTTCAGTGTCGTCGCAGATCTCTAAAGCGGCGGTATGGAGGTCCCAGCCCGTTCAAATCCGTTCGCGGCGCCATCCATTCTCAACATTCTCTTCGCGACGATACTACGACCCGAACGACCACCGCCTGCGGACTGCGCGCCCCGTCGTGACCACCGGCCAGCTAAGACGCGTCATACGTAGCCCGAGTACGCACGCCGTCATTGTGTTTGCAATCGCGAGCGCCATCGCCTTCTACTTCTACAATATTGAGGTCGTTCCGGTATCGGGGCGCAAGCGCTTCAACTGCTTCGGGGAGGAGAGCGTCAATCAAGTGTCGGAGATGCAGTACAAGCGGGTGATCTACGAGGTCGAGAGCCAAGGAGGTCGCTTCCTGTCCGACTGGGACTGGAGGACGATCATGGTGAAGCGCGTCATGAAGAGGCTGATCCCGGTCAGTGGGATGGAAGACGAGAATTGGGAAGTGATGGTCATTGATGATCCGGGTATGCCGCATTCCAATCTCTCAATGGTGCTGAGCTGGTGCTGACTGTGCGTTAGGGACGGCGAATGCCTTTGTGCTACCGGGTGGCAAGGTTTTTGTCTTCAGCGGCATCTTCAACATGGTCAAGAACGAGAGTGCGATGGCTGCGGTCCTCGGGCACGAGATTGCGCACAACCTGGCAGGTCATATCGCGGAACGTCTGTCGCAGTCAATAGGTGTCAACATATTATGGGGGAGCCTGTTGTTCCTCTCTCTTGCGATACCAGGCGGTATCTTTGCCGTCCAGTTCTTTGGCCGTGGCTTCCTGGACATTCTCTTCGAAAGGCCAATGGGCCGCCTGCAGGAGAGCGAAGCGGACTACATCGGCCTTATGATGATGGCAGAAGCGTGTTATGACCCGCGGGATGCCGTCGACTTTTGGGCACGGATGGACCGAGCGCAGCAGGGCGAGCCGCCGGAATGGTTGAGCACGCACCCTTCGGTATGTTGAGAACAGTGGTGGTTGTTCGTGGATAGATTGCTAACACGCGTGATGTAGAACCGAAATCGTATAGAAAAGATTCAGGGGTGGCTTCCCAAAGCGATAGAGAAGCGCGAGGAGAGCAATTGTCACGGCACGCAGGGTTTTGCTGAGCTTTTCAAGCGTGCTATGCGGCAAGGCATCGTGCTCAGCGAGTGAAAACAGTGCGTCCCTGCAACAGACCTCTCCGGCCCGCAATTAAGTGACGCTGCCACTGGTGCTATATCTGGAAGATGTTCTGCGGTGGTGGCGGTTGAAATCTTAGCAAAGTATTGCCTTTGCATTTTGAGGCTCCTTTGACGGCATCACAAGATCACCACTCGGTTGTGTCTCAGAGTACCTCAAAGGACTCTCCAATTATTCTTGCTTTTGCTCTCCTTGAACCTTATATAAAATAGAGTCATAGAGAGTTTCCATCCTGGAACGCGACGGAGCGGATACATCGTTGGTTTCTTGGCGACGTATGAACTACGGTTCTACCCATCTCAATCAACACAGTTATAGGGCTGAATATGACCTGCTATTTAACAAAAGAGCCCTCAATATGTAAGCGCAATTTTGCAAAGCCGCTGGGACAGGCACGATATGACGTTACGCAGCAACACGGGCCGAAGTCTAGAGTTATCACACCTCATCCCTAATTGGTCGCGAGTGACATCAACTTGGGACCTTCGCAATCGTCACCCAGAAACAAAAACGGAACCTGGTGCTTTGACGCATCGTCGATCTCAACTCGCAATAGTTTTGCTTGACTTTATCGCAACTCGGCATATCCATGGCCGAGACTGAGACTCAAGTCGCATCTGCGCGGCGCATGTACGACGCCCGCGCTGCAAACTATGAGCAATCATGGCATCCTCACTACTCCGCCCGGTTCATCAAGCTCCTTGACATCCGCCCTGGCTCTCGGATCCTCGATCTCGCTTGCGGCACGGGTCTAGATGCCTTTCTGGCCGCCGAGCTCGTTGGCGAGCAGGGACGGGTCACTGCGGTCGACGTGAGTGAGGGCATGCTGGCAGTGGCTGCTGAGCGACAAAAGAGGGATGTGAAGCTGGGCTCGCGGATCGACTTCATGCTCTACGATGTGACGGATTTAGACTCGAACCCGGGCATTCCTAAGGCTAGTTTTGACTTCATACTGTGCTCGAATGCTTTCGTCTTGTTCCAGCACCCGGAGGAGGTAGTCAGGAGCTGGAGAGAGTACCTAAAACCTGGCGGCATCCTCGCCGTGGATGCCCCGCATGAGCAAAATTTCCCCTCTGGTCTCATGATGGAACATGTTGCTGCGCAGTTGGGTCTCTTCTGGCCATCGAATAGGGCATGGGTGAAATCGAAGAACTCTTTTGTGCAGGTCCTGGAGAGTCGAGGTTTCGTCGTCGATAAAGTCGTGGAGCTGGAGAACATCAGCGGCGTGGAATCGCCTTCTTTGAGTGTTGACCAGGCCGACGAGCAGTTTGATCGCATCAAGGCGATTGTGCTCAATGAGTCTGCTACAATGGACGGACTTGAGGGCAGAGCGAGGTCGATCTTTCGGGAGGAGTTTGCCCAAGCGGCGGTGAATGGGAAGATAGAGTACGTGGACTCGCTATATGTGTACATTGCACATAGGCTTTGATATTGACTCGGCATCTCGGTGTTCTTGTATCTAAAATGATTCTATACTACGAGGTCTCCATGATGTGGACTCCAATTCAAGATTCAGGGATGCCGGTACTTCTCGTTGCTTTCGCGTGAGACTGCCTGGCATGCTCATCACAACTTGGCGTGGGTTCCCTTCATGTTCGGCTCGACGGGGATTTTGGGATGACCGCCCGCTAACGCCAGTCCTGTGACTTTCTCTAATTCCTCGACCGCTTCGTATGCACGCCCTAACGGGACCTTGATCGTCCTAAACCCCAGCTTTCTGCCGGCTTTGAGGTTCTCGCCGATATCATCGAGGAAGAGAATGTCCTCCGGCTTAACACCGTCTTCCCAGCCGAGCGTCTTGCCCCTCGTCTCGGCATGCGCCCTGGCGTAGCGGTCCGACTCTCTGACGGCGAGCTCGTATATCTCTGGATCCGGTTTCCTCAGCCCGACGTGTGCTGAGGAGATGAATACGTCAAATACTTTCTTCACGGGGTGGTCGAAAAAGTCCTCTTGATGCAGCTCGTGACCTGGCGGGAATATAACCGTATTGCTGAGCGCCACCAGGATGTATTTGCCGCTTGCTTTGAGCTTCTCAAGTGCCGGAAACATCCATGGGTCCGGAAAGTCGGACGCTCGCATCATTTCAACAAACAACCATTCGCCGTCGAGCTTTGGCAATACAGGCACCTCTTTGGGCAATGAAGGGTTCTTTTCTTGCTGTTGCCGGTAGAACGCCTCCCATCGCGTAGAGTCATGAAGATCCCTGTTGAAACCTTCAAAGAACTTGTCATCCATGGGAATCTGACCCCTCTCCAGACGATGCCAGAACCCATTGGGGGCAGTCTTGGAGATGGAGTAGTTGACCCATCCCGGCGGGATGCCTAGACTCAATTCATAGTCAAGGATGGCTTGGAAGGGAGAGACTACCTGGTGGAAAGTCAGATATCAAGCATATGCGAGAATGAGGGCTCCGGCCATCCCCACTCCTGTCGACTTACACAGACACCACCAATGTCGAAGAGCACGACCTTGGGCTGCCTCTGCCCAGACATGATAGATAGAAGAAGCTGTTTGTGTATTGCACTATGGAGACCAAAGGGAAGAGTAATGAGCCTCGATCTTGTGTCTTAATTATGTGCTAGGTCTACTCCTCATCCGTCGACGCATGCTATCGAGGGGGCGCCTGGAGGGTCAATCCAAGCCTAGGCATGTTTGTGAGTGGCCGAGTGGCTAAGCTGTACCAGGCAAGAAACCACCGCCGCTTACCTCGGCCTAGAGATTAGATAACAAGGTGGAGGATCCCATCTTTGTCACGTGAGGTATCAGGTGACTCGTCGCCAACCCGGCCTCGATGTTCTCGAGGCACGACCCTGGCTAGGGCTGTGGGGCGGGGCCGTCAATTATCGCACACAAATTTCGAGTCCCGCCAAATTTACTTTGAACATTTTCATCAACCATCACGAACCAGACAATTGAGCTGATACCACGCAGCCCAAACCGTCAAAATGGTAAGCTGAACCCATACTCGAGGCCGCTGCTAGACATGGCAGCGATACCAGGGAGAAATCCCGCCTTTGAACCAGAAAGGAGTCAATGCAAAATGCTTCGGATCTAGAGGTTCATCTGAAGCGCAAATTGCTGACTCGGGAAATCGTCGCAGGCCTTCCACAAGTTGGTGAAGAACAGCGCTTACTACAGGTATGAAGAACACACAAAGCCCTCTGGTGCCCCTTGCTTTTCCCATGAGAATTATCATACTGACTTTGCTCGCGCCTCGCAGCCGCTTCCAGACCAAGTACAAGCGCCGTCGCTCCGGAAAGACCGACTACTACGCCCGCAAGCGCCTCATCACCCAGGCCAAGAACAAGTACAATGCCCCCAAGTACCGCCTGGTCGTTCGCTTCACGAACCGCGACATCATCATGCAGATCGTGACCTCTGAGGTCTCGGGTGACAAGGTTTTCTGCTCGGCCTACTCGCACGAGCTCAAGGCCTACGGCATTGAGCACGGTCTGACCAACTGGTCCGCCGCCTACGCCACCGGTCTTCTCATCGCTCGCCGTGTCCTCAAGAAGCTCGGCCTCGACGAGACCTTCACCGGTGTTGAGGAGGCCGATGGAGAGTACACCCTGACTGAGGCTGCCGAGACCGACGATGGCGAGCGCCGCCCCTTCAAGGCCTTCCTTGATGTCGGTCTTGCCCGCACCTCCACTGGTGCCCGTGTCTTCGGTGCCATGAAGGGTGCCTCTGACGGTGGTATCCTCATCCCCCACTCCGAGAACCGCTTCCCCGGTTTCGACATGGAGACCGAGGAGCTCGACGCCGAGACCCTGAGGAAGTACATCTTTGGCGGCCACGTTGCTGAGTACATGGAGACGCTCGCCGACGATGATGAGGAGCGCTACAAGAGCCAGTTCGGCAAGTACATTGACGATGAGATCGAGGCCGACGGCGTTGAGGACATCTACACCGAGGCCCACGCCGCTATCCGTGAGGACCCCTTCAAGAAGGTCGAGAGCGATGCCCCCAAGAAGACCAAGGAGGAGTGGAAGAAGGAGTCCCAGAAGTACCGCAGCAAGAAGCTGTCTTACGACGAGAGGAAGAAGCGCGTCCAGGAGAAGATTGCCGAGCTCCGGGAGGAGTAAAAAAGCTTTTAAAGAGCGCACTTTACGGGTTACTGCATGGGTTACGGGCACAGGGGTGCTTGCTTGTTCTTCGGAGTTGATTAGCCAACTGAACTGGAAGGGCCACAAGACCACGGTTCATGGTCGGTGCATGGTCAGCAATGAAAAGTTAATGAAACCAGCTCGATGCAGCCTCCTTTTTCCTCGTGTGATGATAATGTTCGGGACCAGAAATGCTTTCCGCATCTGCATGTCGTGATGATGCTTGCAACCGAGACGAGTACCATGAAGAACAAAACGGATGCCTGCGAGCCAATTACGGGGAGATTCCACGTGCAGTCTGCAGGATGCACCGGAACCTATCCGTCTCTACCCGGCTCTGATCCGACTGCGCGTTATGCTATTACTCGCCAACTTGCATCCCTGCTATGAGTTCTCCGTCTCGGCCATTCCCGATTCCGTGAGTATGAAGTAATTAGGGGATAGGCAAAGAACAACAGTGACTATCGTGACTATCCTGTGACTTCTCAATTTTCGAGTGGTGGAGGGAGACTTAAGAAAGGCAATAGGGACTGTGAGACGCATCCGGACCTATCGAGATTTGATGATTATTAATGCCATCGTCCCAACCGATATAAGGTTATTTCTCGTTCCGTGCAGCGCCGCGGACAGCCGTCGAGGTGGTTTCAATATTAGGAATTTGGCCCGGAACCGGAACAGGGCTTCCAGAGAGTGCGAGAGAAATGCCGTAAGATGCCCACTTGCAACGAACCTTCGCTTCGTTGCTCGAGCAAGGGTTCACGACTGTCAGCTAGCTAAAAGGGGTTGCGACGGTCGCGGATCGCGAAACGGCCGTCGTATTTTTATGCAGACAGGGACAGCAACTGACGTAAGAAGAAGGCGCTGGAGAAGACCAAGATCCAGAAAAGCCCCATGATTCGCACGGGGTAGGTCATGCAAGCAACATGTGTGCGCGCCTAGGAGCCACGGCAAAGAGTCGGAAATTGCGGGGTATCTCGTTGTTTCTTCCAGCCAGCGGCATCGACCGACGGAGACGGGGGACGGCAGCGGTCCTCGTGAGGAATGGATGGGAAGTTCATCTCTCTGGCTTTTGGTGTGGTCGATCGATCGCGGATGTCGGGTTTCGACCATTTTCCACGACGATGATTCAGCTGATGACTCCGTTTGCTACCAATCATTGCGAGATGAGCCAGTCCTCGTTTGGGTTTGGTACCAGTCCAGTAGCACCGTCTGAGGAGGGACCGGTGTCAATCCATAGTGAGATATTTGCCTCTTGAGTCTTGGCTTCTTGACCAGAGACCGACATTGCTCCGCTACACAAAAGTGTTCCCCGGGCCCCGGCCAGAATGATGCAAACCCTCCAAGCCCCCCCCGCACAGAATGGGAATGCCTTATTGCTGCAATAAGCACTTGTCCGTCGCCCTCCTCGCTCTAGAGTGATTGAAGTACTTGTACTGTACGTTGGTACTGGGCATGACAAGTCTCCCTGCCTGGGCTAGTTCACCTCTGAATACCTCCCTAACTTGTAGGTGCCAGTGCCGCTCTTTCGGGTGCGTGACCAGGACGAGCCGAGTCAAGTAAGGTTATGTAGCGCTGCCGCCCGCCGCCACAGCGATTTACCGACTACCCCCAAACACCCCAACCACCACCACCTCCGCGATCGAAACAACTTTCGCACTCCCGCGACTCTGCACACACCTGGTTCTGCTAGCCCTCGAAGCGCGGCCACAGGTGTAACTCGGTGCTGCGAATATTCATGTTGTGGACGGGACGGTGCTCTTCCCAGGTTGCCAGGCTTTCTCTCCAGTGGTTTTCAGGGCTGACCTGAGCTCCACCTTTTCTTTCATCATCCTGATCCTGATCCTGGGCCTGGACCCTTATCCACTTACTCGCTCCGAGAACCTCTTACTCCCCCCGACTCGCCGTTCCTGTCTGTCCGCCGCCTGTCTCTGGGTAGAGTGCGATATCTAATCACCAGCAACATCCCAGCATTGCTTTATCTTGTCTCCTTTACGCTATCTGTGCAACCATATCTCTTCAGCATTCCCCCATACCCGACGACAATGCCCAGATCTTCCTCGCGAAAGCAGCATCAATGATGGCACCCCGCCATTAGTCGGTACTCCTCTGTGGTGTCTGGACTGGTACGCCACCGAACTCAAATCGGCGCGCAGCACAGTTCGCATTCGCGCACATAGCCTTGCGCACCCGCTGGGCAGGCTGTATTGCAGTCTGATCACGTCTTCTGTACGCTTGGTCCGTATTCTTCCTTTCCTGGGAGAGTAAGCCGCAATGGAGCACATTCATGGCATCGACGTCAGCTGGATGACCCACGGGTCGTCCAAAGGTGCGTAGCTATCTTTCCCGCTTCGAATGTCTTGATATTTTGAAGGGCCCGCGAGCGATCCTCAATCGGAATCGACAGTTTACTAATTGCCTTTTTTGTTTTCTGCACAGACAAACCACCCAAGGCTCGCCAACGGAGCCAAACCCTCCCAGCGCGGCCGCGCGATTCTCCCACCCTCAGCCCGGTCTCCTCTCCTATGCCTGGTAGTCCGACAAGAGACGGTGATTCACCAGGCGGCAGTCCGCCTTCATCTCCTCGAGCAATCCCGAATGATCGACCAGGTATTGGTCGGATCAACTCTACAGAAAGAATGTCGAGCAGCTTCGGGTCGCCCTCTCGACGCGGGTCTTGGTTCTCCAATATATCATCGAAGTTCTCGAGCAGCGCGCAGAGCCCGCCACCGCAAGGGGTTACCGCAACCCCCAAACCTGCCGAGCTGTCCGTGCCCAAGGCCAACCCTGCGAAGAACGCCGTCTTGCAGCACGCTGCCAAGTCAGACGGCGACGGGCCTTACACCCCAGCACCTCCACGGACGACGCCATCCAGCATTCTCCATGTATTTCGTCGGCTCTCCTCATCAAATGGCAGCCTCAGCCCGGTGGTCAAGGGCCAGCATGGACTGGTCGAGCGCATGGTCTTGAATGTGGATCGCCATCGCGAGAGGTGTCCGTTGTCAGAGCTCAATCAAGCCAAGCTGCGGCGAGTGTCTTTCTGCGTCGATGTCGAGATCGCGCCGATGCCAAAGTAAGCTGATGGGGATGCCCCCGCCGTGAAAGCCACTGGGGACAAGACTCAGAAGAAGAAGCTCGCCGAGAAGAGCGAAGGCGAGGCGCTCAAGAACCCCAAGCTAGTCGAAGAGCAGAAGGAGCAGGAGGGTGTCATCAAGGCCACCGGGGAAGAGGTCCCCAAGGAGCCGTCAAAGGAAGGGACGCCCGGGACTGGCGATGATACCAAGTCGACCAAGCCAGCGGCTCCCGACACCACGGCTGAGAAAGCCGCAGACGGCAGCAAGAAGAAAGAGAAGAAGAAGAAGAGCGAGGAAGAAAGAAAGGCTCGCAAAGAAAAGAAGCGAAAGCTGGCAGAGGCGAACGGCTCGATTCCCATGGAGATCCACGCAGACAGCGATTCATCCTCCGAAGAGCCTGTTGCCGGCCATGCGCCTCGAGTGCAATACATCCCCACCACGAACCCTGTGCGGATATACCGCCGGTGTTGTCAGCTGAGGGAGACGCCGATCCTGAAGAAGATTACCGAGCAGTTGTCTGATGGTAATAATTTCCTGAAGGATTCAAGCATGGTGGACAAGCTCGACCTCACGGGCTATTGGCTTCAGCTTCCGGATCTCATTACCCTTGGCGATTATCTCGCGGTTGTTCCCATTCGCGAGGTCATCCTCGAGAATTGCGGCCTTACCGACGAGGGGTTACGTGTTATCCTCGCGGGATTGCTTGCAGCGAAAAAGCCCGAAAGAAGATCCAGAAAACCGGTTACGGAACCCGACGGACTGACGAAGCAGGGCGGTGTGGTTGAGCGACTCGTGCTCAAAAACAACAAGATTGGCCCTGAAGGGTGGAAGCACATATGCCTCTTTATCTACATGTGCAGAACCATCAAGTCTCTCGACATATCAAGCCTTCACTTCCCCCACGCGACCACCACGACTAATGGACACTACGGACTGCACTTGCACGAGGCAGCCAAACCGCTGACGACATGCCAGCTGCTCGCGAAATCGATTGGCGAGCGCCTGGCTGGCCCGCACCTCGAGTTAATCAACATTGGTGACACGGGCCTCAATTCTGACGAGCTCGGGGCCATCATCGATGGCATGATCAAGTGCGGTATCAACCGACTTGGTCTTGCCCACAACGATATTGACGCCAAGGGTGTGGAGCATGTCTCGAGATACATCGCCAGTGGCAAGTGCGAGGGTCTTGATCTTGGGGGCAATCCCATGCAGGATCACATCGAGGCCTTGGCACATTCATTGAGCGGAGACAGCCCTCTGAGAGCCATCAGCCTGGCCGAGTGCAACCTGACACCAAGCAGTCTTTGCAAGCTGCTCCCGCCACTCGTCAAGCTCAAGAATTTCCTATTCATTGACTTGTCGCACAACCACGAGCTCTTCAACGCTCAGCCTAGCGCTGTGGCCGTGTTGCGACGGTGAGTTGACACCCTTCTTGGTTGTCTTTTGTTGAAACACCTTATGCTGACCTGCTATCAGATTCCTGCCAAAGATGCGCTTCTTGAAACGCATCCATCTAGCAGACGTCTCAATGAATGCTTCGCAAGCAATTGCTCTCGCGGAGATCCTCCCCGAGATTCCGGATCTAGCGCACATCAACTTCCTCCAGAACCCCGAACTCACCAAGCTGGCAGACGCAAGGACCGAAGAACACCAGGAAGAGGCTTGTGCGCTCTTCGCTTCGCTCCTGGCTGCCACGAGGGTCTCCCACAGCATCATTGCTGTGGATATCGATGTTCCTACCGAGCAATCTGGAGAGATTGTACGTGCTATGGCCAAGCAGGTTGTTGCGTACTGCCTGCGCAACATGGAGCGGCTTCCTCTTCCCAATGCTGCTTCGATGATTGGCAACGATGCGATCAACATTCCTACGCCTGGCGCCCACCCTGACGTTATCCAGCATCTGGTCGGCCACGATTCCCACATGATTGACGATGAGGATGGCGACGAAGCTGCCCCGGACGATGACTATGTCATTGGCGGCACGGGCGTCGTCAAGGCTCTCGCCTGCTGTCTTGATAACCGCGGCGACGAGTCTCGGAGGCCCTCCGGGGAGTTTGGTAGGGAGCCCGGTAGCGGCGCTTCGACGCCCAGGACCAGGATTGGGCCGAGCAAGGCGAAGGATATGTCGAAGCATCTGCTTGGAAGCGCAAGGAGGATCAGGCATCGTCTGCAGCCAGCACTGGCAAGAGCCAAGGCGTCCGCGGGCGAAGACACGAATACTTACCACCGCCTGCTCTTCTTGGACCAAACTCTTGACCGCATGATCAAGCGCTTCGAGGATGAGTTCCCAGAAACGCGAGAGACTGAGCCTAGCGCGGAGACGGCGTCTCTACCTGGTTCTCAGACAGAACAGAAGGAGCCGTCCATCAATTCTGCCGAGGGCGAAATGGCCCCCGTGGTGTCGGACGGCGAGGACGAGACGGAGATCAGGCCCCCCATGTCACGGTCCAACTCGGTCATCTCGATGTCTTCCAAGGGCCTCACCAACGAGGAAGGCCGCATCCTACGTGCCGGACACCGCTTCCGCAGTGGCTGGTTCAACGAGCGGCACATCAACCTTCTGGCCGGGGTGGAGGAGGTCGGGACTGATCCGATGCACGTGCGCATCCTGCACGAACTGTTGGACGACATCGGCAATGAGGAGCTGAAGAAGCTGGTCGAGAAGGACGGCCCCATCAAGGTGTTCAAGGAGCATCGGGATCTGCTGCTCAATACCTTGAGAGAGCAGGACCCGGAGCACTGGGCCAGTTTCATGCATTCGCAGTGGATGGCGAGAGCGAACATCAAGCCCGAGGCCGGGGCGAACCAGCATGATGAGGGCGCCAAGGCGCCCAGCGCTGTCGTCGACGAAGTTGCTGTCAGTGATTAGCAGGCCCTTTGGGGAGTATGGAAAGTTTGTGTAAAGCAACGAGGTTCATTTGCTGGGCGTTTTTATCGCATTCCACCATTTTCTCAGCGTTCGTTACCCAGAACCAGGCATGGACCAGGGACAAGATGTATTTTACTGCATTCTAAACTGAAAGGCAACATACCAAACGTCATATTGATCAGTGTTCTTACGTCTCTAGTCAACGGCGATTAAACTCTACCTTATGCAACGATCTTGTGTGATCCGTATTGACGGATTGAGGTGGCTGAGCGGGCAAGCTCGAATCCTTCTGGGATGGATGGTAATGGGATGAAAGTCGATGCCAAGGCAAAAAGTCCACTTCGAAGACACCCCATAACGTTCTCGACTCAAGATCTCACTCCTTCGCCCCCATGAGTTGCTTTCGTAGCTATATCACGGTACTTTTTGCTCCTCTTTTTGGAGTGTCGAGGGAGGCTCTCAGTGGCTGTCTCGAGGTGGCTCGGCGATTCTGAAACAAGCACACGACCCCCCCCCCCCCCCCCCCCCCCTGGCAGATATCCTCGAATGGGCATGTCACACCTGTGAAAAGGGTTCTCCACTGTGCCGGGCCTTGGCCACGAGTTTGCTCCCTTGACTCCCCAACGGTTCTCCCTGTACTTCTTTAACTTTCGTACCAGGTAAAAAGGGAAAAGATGGAGCCGCATTGGCCCGTAGGTGGATTTCGAACGTTTGGCTGGGCTGGGCGGGGGGGAAGATGTGATTTGAGGGGTTCGCTGGGCCGGATTTCCCAGGCCAGACACCAACTTTTTCTTTGCTAGGTAGGTAGTTATTGCATGAATGATCCCCTTCATTCTCACCCGGATCGCCGACCCCTTTCCGACAACTGGTTCCTTCATGCGAACTCGTATCTCCATTTGCTACACAAGATGGTGTTCTGGGTCTATCATCACACCATGGCGATGGTCGTATTTCCCTGACGACAATGACATGCTTTGCGAAAGTGTCCCATCTCCACCGAACCATCGTCGATTCACTTCACTTACAAACAAACTAACTAGGTAGATAGATGGGCGATTAAGCGCTTGGGCAAGCATGGAAGCTGCTGAAGAAGGCCGTGCGCGATAGGTTGCTTTGCCCGTTCATCAGTCTTGCTATAAACATTTCCGTCTGATTCTAAAGATACCTGCCGTGTTGCTTTTCCAAGGTTGGTGCTGGCGGTTGGAAGCGCGAGGTTCCGGCTTTGGGGGGTGCTTTCTTTAGGTTGGTAAGAGGGGTGCACGGTCCTAGCTACCCAGGTAGCTCTTGGGTTAAGCTTACGACTAACTAATACAAGTACTGCCCTGCCGGGCTGGGAGCAAGGACGACGGCATCTGGGCAGGTTGAGGTGCGTTGCTATTTTTGGACCCAATTTGCCAGCACTTTGCATCTCACGGCCAAAAGTGCCGAGAGTTGTCCATCGTTGTCGGTAATCGCGATGATTGTCCTTGTGTGTTATCGGATGCAAGTTCAAACATAATCGTCATGGCAAACGGGGGAAACACATCATCGAGCGTCTTTGAGTACCACCTCCAGAGGTTCTCTGGTCCACCACCGGAGCAACTTGTAGAAATGATCTGTTTCAGGCAAACAATGAGCACCGCGCCCGATTGTCACAGGCGCAGAGGGGGGACAGCGGGCTGTGTCACTATTGGTAGGGTCCCTTGCCCGGTACAGAAGGTGGCGATCGAATCCCGGGGTCCCTGAAAGCCCGGGCTCGACCCTCACACGCCAATCACGACGACCGGGCGTGGCTTAAACCCAGGGAACAGGGATTGGAGCCGCTGTTCTCCCCTCCCTTCTCTGCCGACTGCCATCCTCCTCCCGGGACGGGGGGGTGTCCACACACCTCCCCTGTTCCCCTCGATAGGTAAGACTGTGGAGGGGGGGAGGAAAGTCCTCGCAATAAGATATGCATGTAAGGTGACGACGGGTGAGGGCAAGGCAGTGAAGGCAGGGAAAGGGATCACCTCCAGGTTTCTTCTACCTGGGCCCTTTCACGTTTGGCTTCCGTGGATGATACAAATACCATGACGAACCACCCACCCCCGGCGAACCCCTGCTCTGATCACAGGAAGCAGTTTGCTCCTTCCCCCCTTCTCAGCCACCGCCCGTCTAATCCTGCAAGTCGTTGCTGGCGCTGCGTTGTTCACTCACCTTGATGTGAACCCGAAACTAGGCTCTGTGTTTTGGGCCCTTTTCGTTTCGCTTTCCTTCACTTCCCTTTCTTTATTCCTCATGTTGAAATAACTTTCATCGTCGTGTCGAACATACAACATACACATCCTTCGGGATGGAGGTCGTCATACCGCCGAGGGATCACGGCCCGACGACTTACAAGTATGAGTGGGACGAGAATGGCGAGGTCATCAGTACGCAGAGGTATAAACGCCCCTCCCCCTTTGTCCTCGCACTCCCCAACCTCCTCCCAGTCTCCCTTCCTTTTCCTTGTCTTCTCTCGCCACGCACGGAAATACATGTAGCTGAATGGTTTGCCCACTCCTCCCAGAATCACCGACCCAGCGGCGCCGCCGCCGCCGACGACGGAGCCGTCGGCCAGCCGCAGGGGCAGGGCTCGGCAGACGGTCATGTGGCCCTTCCAGGGCAGCGTGGCGACCGACTCGATGATATCGAGCCCGCTCGCGGCGCACTTCCCCTCCTTCCGGCGGGCGACGTGGCAGGCGCGGGGCCTGATGGGCAGGGCGTCGGCGGCCGAGACGGATAGCACGCTGATCCCCGACTACGTCGTCAACTACATCCGCGGCGAGACGCCCGAGACGGTGGCGCGGCGCAAGCGCAACGGCGGCAAGCTCGCGGAGCGCGACGTCGACATCGAGCACCAGCACAAGCCGCAGCGGTCGCAGGCTGCGCTGCGCGAGTTCTACGACGGCGCGGGCGGCGGCGCAGGCGGGTCGGGAGGGGGTGGTGGTGCTGGTTATCATCGCGGCTCCGGGGTGTCCGGGTCCAGCTCCGAGATCGAGCGGGTCATGCTGGCCCACGTCGGCGACGGGGAGAAGCCGGTGCACAGGCCGCCGAGGCGGTTCGCGCACGGCTGGCGGGGCGGCGTCGCCCTGAATGCGATCCTCGGGTTCCTGGTGCTGCTCGTCGGCATCATATGTCTGGTGCTGGCCGTCGTGCAGACGCGCGCGTTTGCGGGCGAGACCAAGGTCATGACCGGGTCCTGCGCGAGCGTCGACGGGCTGAACCGCGGCCTGCACGTCATCATCAGCGTCTTGGTGCTCGTCGTCGTGGCCGGGGCCAGCTACGTCTTCCAGGTGCTCACCAGCCCGACCCGCCCCGAGCTGGCGGCGGCGCACGAGCGGAAGCGGTGGCTCGACGTCGGCATCCCGTCGCTGAGGAACCTGGGCGCCATCTCTACCGTCAGGTCGATCCTGGCCTTGACTGTCGTGGCGGCCGCCGTCGCCACGCAGGTAATTTATAACTCCGTAATCTTTACTACCAAGGTCGGCGCCGACCCCCGGCTCGTCTTTGTCACACAGTCGTTCCTCACCGGCGAGACGTTCAGCAACGCGACGAGCAACAATGCCGCTGGCCTCAGCCGGATCGACATTCTCAACCTGCAAAAGATGGCCGGCTCGAAAGTACTGGTCAACATGACGATCGAAGAGTGCATGGACGAGTTTGACGGGGCATTCAATGCCGAGTTCACTGCAGCACTCTTTGTTACCGATATCGTGGCCCCCTCGAGTTCAGTGCTGCAGACTACCACCCAGGCGTCCCTCCTCTCTCTTGGAGCCGCCAGCGAGGGCAGGGATTCCATCATCGCTGCTCGCGCAGCCACGCAGTTCTGTCTCGCTCAACGGGATCTCGACGGTCACACCTGCGATCTATCTCTCAACGGCTCCCTTTTGGCAGTCGTTGTTCTACTCAACATCATCACTATTCTGGCGACGACTGCGATCTTGTTCAGATCGTCGTTCAGACCGCTCGTTACCATCGGCGACGCTATCGCCTCTTTCCTCGAGGACCCCGACCACACCACCGAGGGGTCCTGTCTCATGACCAAGGCCGACGTCCTGCAGAATCGCTGGGGACTAGGCGAAGCCAAGCACTGGCAATCTAGGCGGCACTTTTGGTTTCGCTCTGCTTCTGTCCTCCGGTGGCTCTCGTGGGGTGTGGTGTGGCTGTTGTCAGCAGGCCTGTCGGTGGCCGGGCTTGTGGTGTCCATCACCTCCCATCCAGACGGCAGACTGCTGCCGTTCGGCGAGGTCTCGCCGCACAGCGTCTACCTCCTCCCATCGTCACTGCCAAAGCCCGCAGTAGCTATGATCGCCAGCCTGCCCCAAGTCCTCCTAGCGACGCTGTACTTCACGACAAACAGCCTCCTGACGAGCCTCTTCCTCAGCCACGAATTCTCACAGTACGCTCTCGGCGGGAGCAGGCCGCTGCGGGTGTCGGCCGGGCCCCGCGGGGCGCAGACGACGTCCCTGTACCTGACCCTCCCGCGCGTGTACAGCTGGGCCCTCGCCGTGCTGTTCGTGGTCCTCGCCTTCATGCTGAGCCAGGGCGTGGCGGCCGTGGGCATCGACACCGGCGTCAGGAACCAGCCCGCAGCAGCAGCAGCAGCAGCAGGAGTCGCGCTGGACGGCACGGCGCTGCTGGTCCTCGTCGTGCTCCTCGCGGCGCTGGCGCTCTCCGTGGTCGCGGGGCTGGGCTTGCGCACGGCGCCGGCCATGGTCGCCGCCAACGGCGAGGCGGCGGGCAACCCGCTCGCGCTGGGGGGCGGCAGCTGCAGCGCCGTCGTGGCGGCGCGGTGCCAGGAGGTGCCTGGGGAGAGGGGGCAGGCGTGGACGAGGCCGGTCGCCTGGGGCGTGGTGATGGAAGGGGCGGCGTCGGTGGGCGGCAGCAGCGGCAAGTGCGGGTTTTCTGCGGGCAGAGTCGGGCAGCTGGATCTGGGGAGGACCTATGGATGAAAATCATTGGAACTGGCTGGGGAAATGCGGATGGAGGGGCACGGTTTTTACTTTGTAATGGTTCTTGATCTTACTGTTTTTTCTTAGGGGGGGGGGGGGCATAAGGAGAAGGAGTTGACGGGCATCTACAAGGCTATTTATTTGGTGGGACATATGGATGGATGGGTGTCAGTTGGCATGACAAGGAAGGGGCTGGACATGATACCCTTCAGCGAATTTCGAATTAGGAAAGTTACTTGCTGAAATTGAACGAAATTTCGAAAACGGCTACGGCGCTGTCCTGATGCTTGTATATCCACTGCCTTCTTGTCGATACCTGTGGGAGTACGATGCTTCCTGGTGTACACTGATTCACTATGTAGAGAATGAGCGACTGACACAGGCTTGTGACTGCTCGTTCACACAGATAGCAAAGCTTATCAAGCAGAAGAAGGAGCAAGCAACTCTTCCGAAGAAACTCTTACTGCTGAACGATATAGATGTACCCTTCAACCTGAACTCCAGTTGATTGCTCGCTCACAAACCAACCACGCCTTCATTGAATATCTTGCGGCTACCTAGATATCTTCAGAAAGCAATCTTAAGAAGACGACGCTACACCCCAAAGAGACTCTATATACTGTCAACAAGATGCCCTCAAGAAGAATCCCAATCCAGCCTCTCATCTTCGTCGTAGGCGAGTTTCCCACGCCCCTTGCTCGATATTCCCTCCCCCTGCAGAACTGACCAGATGGGACGTTGAAGGCCTCCCTGGTTCCGGGAAGCGAAAGCTATGCAAGCGGCTCGAGGCCGACTACGGCTTCGTGCATATTGCGATCGACGCACATCTGCAAGAGCTCATCCTGGAGGCGGCGAGATATCCACCAGACATGAGGACCGCCGACGAGAACTTGATTCAACTTTACTGCGACAGAGGAGACCAGCTCCCACGCACCCTCCTCTTCGATAAGATGTATCCCATCATCCGCAGGGAGCGCCACTCGGGCCATGCTATCCTCTTGGACAACTTCCCCAGCCAGATACAAGAGGCGGGTCTCTTCGAGGCGATGGTAAGTACCGAAGGCCCCCCCGCCCCCCCCTTTCTGACTTCAAGCGAGCAAAAACTCACGAGTTACTCTGTTACAGACTGGGCCGCCGGACCAAGTCCTCTTCTTTGACTGTCCGAAGGATACTGCCAAGGAACGCTTCATGTCGTGGAATACGAGAGAAGGGGACACTGCTCCAGCATTTTTTGAACGTATATATGAGAGCTTCACAAAGTGCAACCCTGAAATCGTGGCAGAGTATGAGCGCAAAGGGTTATTGACCAAGGTGAGTTTTTCTCTAGTTCGTGGACAAGACTCGCTGTGTGAAAGAGGAGCCGAGATCATGCTGACAGGGACCGGACGCCTAGATTGACACAAGCGACTTTAATGCTTCGTATGGTCATCTCAAGGACGCCTTGGAGAAAACCGGCTGCATGCCCAAGAAGGGGATTTGGTTCCCCTCGCTGCTAGATTCACCCGACCCAGAGGATCCAGAATAACACCGATCATGGGGAGCCAACTTGCGGAAGGGATGAGGTAATTATAGCATAGAAATACGAACAGGAATTCCCACCCATTGCCCCAACGCCATCACACCTAATCCAGAGTTCTCTATGCATGAAAGTACTAGTCTAGGTGTGTCTGTGAAGGCCAACACCTTCTGTCCATCTCCCTCAGAGCCTTGCCCGACCCAAGCCTCATGACCCATGCTTCCACTCTCACAGCCTTTGCATTCTAGTTCTTCTGAGGAGTGTCCAAGGTCTGCTCTGCTGCACGAGGAAGAGGAACCCGTAGTTGTTTCTGTACATCAGTCACAGGAGAAGTTGTGCTATGTTGAAAGGATGTGTACCCAGTTCAGGGGATGTGACATGGCTTCCAGATGGAACATATTGTTGGCCATGGTGTCAGTTCCTGGGTACAGTAGCTGAGGCCCCGGGCCCCGAGACGGGGTGGATGTGTTTTGGAATGGGCGAATGAGATGCTGAATGAGACAGTCTTTTTGGCCTGTTTGGGAAGGTTGATGGAACTGGGGATTTCGGTGGGGGTTTCTGTGGGCCAGTCGGGGAAGATGAGTGACATTCTTTCGTGCAGTTCAACAGCAACCGGAAAAGGCTCACTACTACAAGTAGCTGAAGCAGCATCACTGTGTACACAGTTCGGAAACTCCCCAAAGCAAGTCAGTGAGTCTCCGTGGCTGCGCCCCCCCCTTTGGCTCCAGAACGAGTTCGGGAACCTTCCCGGTTGGGGACACAGAAAGAAAAGAGGAAAAGAGAGGCGAAATGCCCTGCATCCCATCCCGCGTCTCGGCCATGCACGCCCAATTAATGTCGTCTATTTATCCTAAAGCCCCGGCCCACTCACGGCCTCGCTTTGGGAAAGACAAGACGGAGGGAATCTAGTCCCTTTTGCCCTAGTGCAGGGTAATATGGCGTACGAGCGCCCAGTTCTCCTTTATTTCTTCTGTGGAAAGGTCAGTCAACCAATCTACTCGGGACTTGGCGAACAGTCCCGAGGTACATTTGGCAGACCAAGGTGCCGTTCAGAAGCATGATGCCATTTGTTCTTGAACCTTTCAGAGAATTGCTGCCAGACTTTTGTGTAATTCTGTAACCCTTTCTTTTTTCCCACTTTCTTCACTCTGCACACACAATCTCTGTTGTATCATAGGGTTGCACTGCTATGATGTCAAGTTGATTGTCAGCAGCTATTCCAGCTGCAAGGGCCTCCATCTATGATGACGCTGTATTCTTCCTCACTCCTCATCCCACTCCTCGTTGTCCTCCTCTCCAAGATCACATTATGCCTGGCCGAGTTCAGAACCTCCTTTGACAACATCACACACGGCCAACCCTTCCAACTAGCCTGGGACGATGTCGACCCGAAGCACTACCCGCTCTCTGTCTACGCCCGGCTGATCAACCGCACAGTGGGCAGCCAGGCCACTGGTGTTATGATGAACATTACAAGTATGGGACCGAACAACTCCCTCTGTTATGACAGCACTGAGGTTATGAAACAGATGCAATCACCACGGGCTCGACATATCTCTGGCCCGACGTACCGTATCCCCTGCCGTACCTGAGCACGGGGCTCTACTCGGTCGAGATAAGGTCATCGGTAGCAGACAAGGAAGGGACCGACGCTGTCGTCTTGGCCAAGTCGCCGTTCTTCCCCATTTTCGAGCCCCGGCCGGCCGGCCCTCGCACGTCCTCGCGTCCCAAGGCACCAAAGGGAAGTGCCGTGCCTCAGGACGGCCCGGAGACCAAAATCATCGGCCCTACCAACAAGTTGGCGCTGGGTCTCGGTCTCGGGTGCGGGATCCCGTCCGCCATTGCGATGGGCTTTCTGATCCACGTTCTCGGAAAAAGACGGGCCAAGATGCTCGAGGAGAAGCGGCGGAAGCAGCGGTTCGAGTTTGTGATCCATTAGAGAGAGCGCTCGAGGAGGCAAGGAACGACCCAAAGAATTCCAGAGGTTATATCGAGCCGCCGAATATTGTCCCAGTCTCATCGGGTAACACCATGATCAATATTCATCTGAAGGTATATCATGCGTCCGTGGGTCGAGGGAGAGGTAAATTCTCGTTGTACAAAGCAAAACTCGGCCTATGTTTCGGCCATATATTATGAACGGGATGCCCGGTTCCGCTTGTCGATGCCAATAGCAACGCACCAAAGCCAATGCCCAGTGCAAAAAAAAACATATACATATCCTCTAATGTTCAGATCTTTGCAAAATCAAACGCCATTTGGGTATCATTGTCCAAAATCCTGTTTACCATCTGTCAGCCAACCCTTCCAATGAAAACTAGACAACCATTAATAAAACACTCACACATAATTCTCCCAGTGCAGCCCCCTCCGCCGCTGCCCCTGCGTCCCCGCCGCCTCGCCGGCCCCCGTGGTGGTGGCGGAGCCGTCGCCGTCGATCCAGGCCGCGGGCCTGAAGCTCACGGCGCCGTACGCGTGGATCATCTCCCGCCAGTAGCACGCGCCCGCCGCGGCCGTCAGGTACCGCTCCCGGAACGTCTGCCGGTTGTTGGCCGCGATGCGGCCCGCCACCCCGGGCAGCCGCAGTAGCCCCCGCATCTTGACCTGCAGGTCGCCCCAGTCGTCGGCCGCGACGACGACGTTCTGGATGCCCGCGCCGCCGCCGGACTCCCAGTCCGCCACGGCCGGGTGCTCCCTGTCGTGCGAGTGGTAGCGCGCCTGGTTCGCGTACATGAGGCCGTGGTAGATGGTGATCCAGGTCGGCCGCGTGGTGACGATGACCGAGTCGCAGAGGAGGGCGCCGTCGGTGAGCGCCGTGTTGTACGAGGAGTCGTGGGCGAGGAAGGAGTAGCGGCACAGCTCGGCGACCGAGGACGAGGCGGGATCGCTACTGCTGCCGCTGGCGTTGCGGTGCGCGTCCTCCCAGGTCTGGCCCTCGGCTACACGAACGAGGGCCTTCTGGCGGGCCGGTTCTTGGTGCCCATCGTCGTCTATCCATATCCCGCGTAGCTGCTTGGTCTTGTCGGCGAAGGAGAGCGTCGACTCGATGTTCTCGATGTCGGCTACAAGGCTGTCCCGAAACCCAACTTGGTAATCGCCCGGCGCGGCATTCCGGGCCTTCCCCGTCTCCGGCGAGGCGTAGGAGTCCTGCACGATCATCGCCGTCTCGGGCATGAGCCAGACCTTTATGTCGTCCTTCATGCGGTCGGGAGTCCAGATTGGCTGGGTGATGTCCTCCACGTGCCGGTTGACGCTGATGACAAACTCAATGTCCGGGACCGGAGTGGGAGCCGAGATGACGGCGTCGTGTATGGAGCCCAGGATTGCCAGAGCCCTGGCTCGCTCTTCCAGGTTGTTGAGGCTGGCTTGAATGATGTGGAGCTGGGCTCAAGGTCAAAACTATGTACCAGTGACACGGGAGTGTCCGACATAAAAAAAAACCTACCTTGCCCTCCAAGATGGAAGCGCGAATGCGGCCGTTCGCTATCCTGATGGCGTCGAGCTCGTCCTGGATGATGTGGAACATGTCGTTGTTCGACCGCGCCCTCGTGATCTCGTCAAAGAGCCCCGGGAACGCCGCCTGGCACTGCGCGCTGGTCATGCCGAGGTTGTCGGCATCCCGCCTGTACGACCAGCCGCCGCCCGCGGCCGCCGACGCATGCTTGCCCAGGAGCCCGGCCGCGGAGCGGTAGGCGTCCTGCCACGCCGACGACAGCCTTCCGTAGCCCGTGCCGCTGCTGCTGCTGCCGTTGCCGACGGACGAGACGAAGCTCTCCGTCGTGGCTGCCACGAGGCGCGACGCCGAGCCTCGTCCCGAGAGGCTGCCCTCGAGCTGGCACTTCCAGTCCCTCGCATCACGACACGTCTTGTCCGACACGCCCAGGCCACGGTAGAGGTGTATAGACGTGCCTAGTAGCACTAGCACGAGGACTAGGGGTATGAGAAGGATCTGGCAAGCAGATGGCCGGCGGACTCTCGGCAGAGAAAGAATGAATGCCATCTTGCGAAAAAGAAAAAAAGGATCGTCTTTAGCAAATTCTTCCTCGACCCATCCTTTCCGACTTTACCAGGAACAGAGCAGAAGGGGTAGTGTGTGCAAAGCTAGGAAGGATCGAGACAACCGAGGAAGAAGAAGGCAATATACGACACACAAAGGGGGCAGATGGCAAAGATATTCAGGAATCCTCGCGAAAGCGAAGTAAGGACGAGACTAGGTACGAGCACCCAGAGTGTATCACCTTGCTTCACCTTGTTTGTCCACCCCCCGGACGGGGGCCATGGGCACTCCTTCACGCACACGCATGGTTATATAAAAAGACATGGCTGAGAAAGAGTGGAAAGGGGAAACACTGGGTCACGTCCGATCCCACCAACAGAGAGATCGTTTTGCTGACAGCCAAGTCCCAATGTGCCCAAGCACCCACGTCGACCACATGGACGTGCCGCCATATCATTGCCATAAACAGGGAGACGGGTGGTGGCCAAGCCTCGAAAACGACGATATCCAAAAGTGCTAAGCCTTTTTGCTTCTCCAGGCAGACGAATAAAAAAAGAGTGGGCGGCGCATGGAACGGCACACTCTTGATGCGAGCTTCTTGCAAGGATTTTCAGTTCTGACAGGCCCGGTTCAAAACCCCGATGAAATGAGGTCCTGTCGAGGAGCCGCCTTGTCAGCGAACGGTGACGCAGGGGTCCCGGCAAGGAGGATCATCTCCGTTTTGTGCCCAGCAAGGAAAAGCCACCACCCCTTTGTGCTGTGCCCGTTTGAGCTGTCGAGTCCCGTGCATGTAGTCGAATGGGGACGGCAAGAATTCTGTTGCCTTGTGGTTTGACCCATAGAATGGAGATCTTCTGCTTCCCCAGAGCCCCATTCGGAAATACGGGGGCCCTTGGCGGTCTGCCGTTTCCCGCTTTTGCAGTGATTGCCAAGACGTCCTGTGCTGAGGCGTGCTTCTCTCTCTGGGTTCCGAGTGGACCGATCCTGCAGACATTCTGGTACGGGCTTTCGTGCTGCTGATTTGAAGCCGTGGCAGACGCCATGAAGTTGAACGGGTCTTGACGCCGCCGCGACGGATGTGCAGATCGTCCAACCTCTACGGAGTAAGGCCTTCATCTCATTCGTACTTCGTAAGCACCAGGGCCGCAACCCACTCCCATTTTAACTTACACTAGGGGATCCATCTACCGATCACACCCCTGCCTAGCACGAGGATAGGTAATCTTGAGCATACTACAAAGGGACTTTCATATGGTCGTGTGGCTTCATCACCAACGCGGTCATTGGTCTGGTCGGCTCGAGCCAAACTGCAGGCTGGAGGCGTGGCAGCATAGGAAATCCCGTACTCACACAAAAGGTGTGACGGTATGACAAACAGAAACTAAGTTTCAAGTAGCGGCTGAGGTGTGTTGAGGAAGGCCCTGCCGAATGCCCGAGCTTCGGGCCATTGCGACAGTCAATGCATCAGAGTATAGGCTGTAATCATTCCATCATAAGAGCTAACTGAGCAGGGAGGTCATGCCCGTGACCTCCGGGAGAGACCTAGGTATGGCGTGGTCGCCTCATAGCGATCATCCATTAACGGCTCAGCGTGAGCAGCCCCTCGATATACCTCTTCGTGTCGACGCCGATGCCCTGCGCCAGGCGAGTGGCGCCGTCCGCCCAGCCGACGCCGCCGCCACCACCACCACTAATGAGCGAGCCACTGACTGCCCTGACGGCCGAGCCGCCACCATGGTCACTGGCCTTGCGTATCAGGAAGATCTCCTTGCCGACCGTGATCTCCTCCACCTGTTCAGGCGCCTCGCTGCCCCCGTCCGAGCCCGGTCCAGTCTCGGAGCTTAATGACGGGATCTGCTCCGACTCTGGGGAAGTGATGGCCGATGAGCGCGGGCTAGACTTCTTGTCCACCATGCGACGGTCCAGGATCCGGCTCCAGACGACCCACCAGCCCCTGCTCGTCTTACAAGTGCGCTCCAGTTCCGAGATGTCGGCGCGGGTGGCGGCAAAGGTGTTGAGCATCTGCATGTGCGTGTTGAGCGCCTCGACACGATTCCACACCGGTGGTTCTGAGTGCGACTCCGAGACAGCGGCGAATGACTCTGGGATGTTTGGGATGGTGCAATGCACCGTGAGCGCCTTGGGGTCCCAGATGAGATCGTAGATGCTCGCGGACCCGGACGCTGGCGCCGCTTCCATGTCGGGCTTCAGAGGCCGGTACGCCGTCGAACTTGATAGGTGCTTGCGCAAAGGTGCTAGTTGGTGGTGAAGGGACTTGTAGATGCCGCTCCAGGCGAGGGAATCCGTCCGCTTTTCAAACATGAAGGTGAAGATGAAAGGTTTGTTGATGTAGACCACCACCCGCAACTTCTTGGTCTTGTTCCGGTCCTGGTTATTGAATGAGTCTTGAGTCTGGCCCTCCTCCTCGGGGGATTGCTGGGTGACCTCGGTATTCTGACTGCCCAGCGATGTCGTGACCTGCGACGGATGCCGTTTGTCGCCCTCGCTTTCCAGCTCCACTGAAACAGTCCTGAGCATGGTGCGGAAGCCTTCCTCTGGCCCATCTGTCGGGATGATGTCCTCGGAGTCACTTGCTTCCTCAATATCACCCATCAGTCCGATCAGATATCTCCCCTGGTCTAGTTCTGCAAATGACTTGACTGGGTTATCGGGTTGCGTGATAGCTTGCCCCTGATTACTTTGGGCTTCAGCAGACGAGCTACCGGGACCCCAGTACGTCCCATATCCGAGCTTGAGGTAACTAACATACTTGTCGACGCCTTCGTTCGGGGTGCTTGACTCGGCAGAGGGTGTCGCCTGTGCTAGAGGCACTGCGCTCTCAGGGGCTGAGGCCGTTTGTCGTTCAGAAGTGCCCATTTGAGGTTGTTTCGCTCTCCTAGCCAGCTCAGTGACCGGCGGTGGGGGCCGCATATGTTGAGCCTCGGGACTTGCCGCCTGTGTTGACCTTTTGGCCTTTCTTGGACTCCTCACTGCTGAAGGGCTCTCCATTACTCCGTAAGCATTCTCGCCCCAGGTGTACATGTCCTCCATCCAGTACGTAACATCGCGCAACGACTTCCTCGACAGGGCACCTACGCCGAGAAAGATTGAGCCGTCTTCGGCGCCTGGCTCTTTCCCGGTTCCAAGCCATTGCTTGGACGCATCGCCAGCAGCCTCCGACTCCAGATCGTCAGGGCCAAACTTGGCAACCACTAGGTCAACAAGGCCTTCTATCCTGCCAACTAGACCCTCAAGAACCTCGCGCTCTCCACTTCCGCGTTCTTCCTCACCAACGCCAATGCCCAACTCGCCGCTTGCGGCAACCTTGATGCCTCCAAAGACATCACGCACTGGGTTCCCGTGGAGGAGAACACTCCACGTCGAGAGGAAGAGATCCCAGTACCTGCCGAGGACAGCGACAAAGTTGGAGCGCTTGCTGCGCATGAATATGGAGCTCAGAGACGAGTCGTGATGCAGTAGAAAGATAGCATGTGCGCGGAGCAGGTCCTGCAGCAGTAAGGCGGCCGGCTTGACCTCTCGCGACGAATACTCGACGCGTTCTCTGGCCGCCGGCTCTTTTGCGTCGGAAGATGAGCCCGTTGCCGCCGGCACGGAGAGCTTCGTCAAATCGACAGACTTTGGTTCGGAGATATATCAGTCAGTAACTGTACACCACGTGCAGCAATGGGAAACGGGGCGCACGTACAGCAAGCAGCCACCAGCCGGGCTCGAGCTCGTGCAGGATGACGCGCGACTTTTCCGTGTCTATCGTGTCGACGGGGTTGCCATCCGAGAAGCTCTTGCCGAATTCGAGCATGCCCTGCGCGAGCCCTATCTGCCTCAGCCGCTCGTTGCGCTCCTCCTGCGACAGGAGGTCGGTCGGGCGCTCGGTGGCGCCCCTCGCGCGGTGCCGCCGCCGCTTCTGGTTCTGCGTGCTGACCGAGGCATAGTACACAATCTGGTCCTCGATGGTCTCGTCTGTGGTCCCCAGGCTGGGGTTGTAGATGGCCAGGAAGCCGAGCTGGGCGGGCACAACGTCGGCGGCCGCCATCTGTCCTCCTTGAAGCGCGTGCGCGAAGCCCCGGAGTTTCCGCCAGAGAACCTCGAAGTTCTTGGGATCGGACGGAGGGAGGTTCCAGAATCCAGTAGAGGGGTGTAGGCAGTTAGGTAAGGGGAAATACACGACACCCTTCCGGGCGAAACACGGTGTGTACTGGCTCCGGGTGCTGGTCGGGCCAGGTGCCGTTCTTTGAGGTGCAGGTGTGCCCCAGGCTCGCGATCCTGGGACCGCCTGATTGGATCTTTCCGGTCGTGATGCGCCTTCTCACCTTCTAGCGCAGCCGTGTGAACTTTAGAAGGGACGCCGGTGACGTCGAGCAATCACGACAAGCATTTGACGCAAGGCGAAACCCGAACAGTGGGGACCGCTGAAGCTTGTGGGGATTGAGTTTAGCGCCCTGGGCTGCTGGGCGGTAGGGCGAGAGACCGGACGAAGCACCCACTAACTGCATGCCTTCACTGGAATTTGAGCCTCAACTTCTTCGCATCGCGCCTCGAGATGCTATTTATGATAGCTAGGTAGGGACTTGATCAGGTAAACGAAATCGACAAATTGGATTTATTCTTTTTAGCTCACCTATGTGTGCCATGGGAAAATGTTCGCTGTACATACACAGCCCCCAGCCCACGAATTGACACACCAAGTCAACGGTGTTTGCGTGACGGGAATCTCAGCAATCGATCGTGATCGGATCGGGATCGAATCGGTCCAGCTAAGACAAAGACGCGTGCGGCCCGCGTGACCTAACTGTATAGTATTCAGAGAAGCAACATATAGGTAGGATTTCACACCTCATCTGTCGTAATTGTATTTCCTCGAGAGACTCAATAGAGCAGCCCTTGCTGAATGTCAACAAAAGACCAGCAGCTATGGCCAGAATCACGAATGCAGATCAGGAGTGGTAGGCATATGAAACATTATTGGGTCGGATTGGAATTGCATATACGCTATGTATAGTACAGAGCTCCTTAGGCGACTTGGGAGATCTTAAAGCCACCCGGAACCCTCTTCTGGAAGACCTCCTCAGGGTCGTACTTGGCAGCGACGTCCCTGATGAACTGGATGTTCTCGGGCCCGTAGGTGCTCAGGGGGCTCTGGCTACCGTCGGCGTACCCCAGGTACTCCCACTCGACGCGGATGCCCTCGGCCGTGTAGTACTCCCTGAGCTCCTGGGTCATGGCGACGAGCTGCCTGCGGGCCTCGGCCTCGGCCTCGGCGGAGCGCACCATGTGCTGCATCTGGAACAGGATGGCGTCGTCCTTCTCGCGGTCCATGCCGAGGACGTTACCTCCCTTCTTGACCGAGTGCTCAAACAGCAGCGTCGGCATGGCCTGGAAGGTGATGTAGTTGAGGAAGTCCGGGTCCTGCGTCGCCTTCCAGCCGTCGATGAAGTCGGCCTGGGCCTGCACGGCGCGCCGGATGAAGCGCTCGTCGTTCTTGCCCGTCAGCGTGATCCAGACCTGGCGGTAGCCGCTGGGCTCCTCGAGCTCGACCGTCATGTTGAGGTGGCTGTCGTGGCGGATGGTGTCCTGCAGGATAGGCCCGATGTTGTGGAAGTCGTCGTACGCGGGCGCCCACGCCGCGTTTGACGTGTCCTGCAGGGCGGCCGAGACGACGGTGCCGGCGGCGGGCGTGTAGGCCCAGAAGGTGACGGCCGAGCCCTGAGGGTAGCTGCGGATGTTGTCCACCCACTTGACGTAGGCGGCGATGTGCTGTCCGGTCGTGTTGACCGGGTAGACCACCTGTCCGCCCCAGATCTCGACAATATCGACGGTCTGCATGTCGACGCGAGTCACGATGCCAAAGTTGCCCGAGCCGCCTTTAAGCGCCTTGTGCAGGTCCGCGTTGGTCACCGCGTTGGCCTGGACAATCTCGCCGCTGGCCAGGACGACCTCGAAGTTGACAATGTTGTCGCAGCCGAGGCCGACCTCGGAGCTGAAGAAGTTGTTGCCGCCGCCAGTGAGGAAGCCGGCGACGCCGACAGTCGCGGTGCGGCCGCCGGGGGCCGTGACGCCATACTCCTCGAGGGCCGAGTAGACGTCGCGCCAGAGGGCGCCGGCACCGATGCTGGCCAGCTTGGTCAAGGGTGAGTACTTGACCTGGTTGATCAAGCCCATGTCAAGGGTGACGCCCTTGTCGACTGCAGACGCATTCACATCAGCACACTGGGTTCAAATATCGACGAGTATAATATCAGACAGCTAGGTGCTCGGTGCTGCGTGTTTGACTTACTGTTAGAGGCTCCAGCCCAGGTCATGTGGCCCCCACTGCGGACAGCCCAGTTGCAAGTGGTGCCCTTGAGGGTGGCGGCGGCCAGGGAGACCTCTGCGGCATTGGTAGGCTGCACGATGCAGTAAGGGCTCAGCTGAGCCGAGACGGAGAAGTACGACGCATCTCTCGCCTTGTAGGCCGCGCTGTCTGGCCGCAGGACCTTGAGACCGGCGGCCTCGAGGACGTTACACTGTTCATTCCCGAGCTCATTAGCCATTGGTGAAAAAGCAAAGATGTAATGAGCAGGGAATGCTTACGCACGAGTCGGGCGTGGTGCCGTTGCAAGCCGCTGCAGACACAGAGGCGAAGGCAACTGCCGCTCCCAATACCAGCGTCGGGGACCTCATGATTAATACCGTGGTACTATATTTCCACGGGGCATATGTTAAAACGAATGTCACGCGAAGGGGCTATCAGAAAAAGAAAAAAGAGTGGACGACCGCCGTTACACTGGGACAGACACGGTCACGACTTGCAGATGGTGAAACAGTCAAGGAAGGTTGCATGTGCAGCCGTGGAAAGGAGGGCAGATCACTTACATTTACCAGATCCTCTGGGATGTTGTCGTTGAGAGGCATGCAACTCGAGTGGGCCGTAGAAAGGGGAGAGGTCTGGGGTTTTTGAGACAGCCGTCCTTACCGTTTACAAGGGCCGGCGCGCGCCGTTGTTCGGCGCGGGTCGTCATGAAGCATTTACCTAAATGTACCTAATCTATCCACTCAGGCCAAGATTGACTCTGATGATGGGGATCGCCACATTGCGGCCGTCCGGGGGTTGAATTCAAGCTTAGTCTAGGACCTTGCAGGGTTGAATCGAGCTAAACAGCAAGAGATCTTCAACGGCTAACCTTGAAGAGTAGTCCCAGGAGAGCAGTCCATAATTCGACAAGGTATTTGCCTTGTTGAAATTGCTGCATTTGCTTTTCCTGTAAGAACCAAATGGCCAGGATCCTCGTCAGAGTGACATGCAACTCCCCGGAAAACGCAAGTGTGCATGTCTGTATACAATGAATCGGGGAGTTCAAGTGGAGAACATTGGACTCGTAACGAGGTTCATGCATAGAACAAGGCTTGCACCATGCCGCCCCTCTTGAAAGCTGAATAGAATCCTTTCTCTTCACGTCGCCACTGTCCACAAAGTGATATGGTCTAAAAGGTGTCGATTCGAAAATGCAGATGCTATTTTCGTGAGCATCGACAGTAATCCAAGGATAGGATGTATGCAAATGATAACTCCAGAAGCTTGTGAGAACCAGGATCAGTCTCGTCAATGGTTGCCTCTCCGCCTTCGGGTATACTTCGTATGTCGCTTGATCCAGACGTTGATCAATGGCGTGCTTACTGCGGAGTGGTCCCACGAGATAAACTCCACTCTCCTCTACACTTGCTTGTATCCTGACAGCTTCTTAATCTAGCAACTTGACTAGCAGTTCTTTGAGTTGAGAGAAATAACAAATCAGTCACATTGGACTGATTTGAGCACAGAAAACAGTTCTCGCAAATCGAACTCCTTTCGCTTACATACAAAAAGCAATTCCGACCTTACCAGCTAGATAGCACATCCTTGCTGAGGTAGCTTCCGGAGAAGGTGTTCCTTCATGAGGCAAATCCCGCCGGCTCGGAAATTGTCTGTTCTGAGCAGAGATCTGCTCTCGTTGCCCTATTCTCTTCCCTCGATCCTCCTCAAGGCAGTGTTATTGGTGTGCCAGCCCCTGTTTTCAAGGTTGTGGGTTCCGGGGCCGCCTCCGTTGCAGACCAAGCTAAGCATGGTTTTGCATCCTTACAATAGAGCTGTTAGCGAGTGTCGATCAATACACATCCTGGTAGCCTTTTCCGACTTATCAACTCCCCTCTTTGTCGTTGTATTACCACACGTAAAGCTACTGATGCACATAATGCGCAAATTTTCAGGTAGTCCACTATGCCAAGCTTCACCATTGATGAAGATCAATGATAATTGTAACTTGTAGGAGTGGTATGCTGCTGTGCGAACCACTGTTCACTCTATTTCTCTCTCAACACGAAGTTCCTAGTGAAAAGATCGGCATCGAATATGCCCCCAAAGCTTGCTAGAGCCACGAGAGTTCATTGGGTACTAACACCCACGCTTCGAATAAGCAAGTTGACAGGAAACGTCTCGAAACAGGCTAAAGGATTGCCACAAAAGAGTGAGAGCTACTGCCGGCTTCTCTCCGCGAGATAGGTGCGGAAGATAATTACATAGCTATACAACCGTCGAGAGGTTGTTTTGAAAATGTGATAGAACGCGGCCAGGCCGCGAACATATGCACGTCTCGTTCTGTCCAGTTCCCTGGGACCCGGCACCCAACCGTGCCAACCCGGCAGTCAACTATCGAACAAAGCCGGCAGGGTCGCATTGTTCCCTACCCGTTGACCAGGACTGTAACCCCCTGAAGATCTTTGACTCCGCTGAGGATGGGGCAGAAGCACACATCTCACGCAATACTACTCGATCGCTGCACATCAGCCGTATGATAAAGAAGCCTGGGATTTCCTTCTGGGGTCCGCCTCTACGGCCATCTTGTGTCCTGTGTCCCTCACAGCTGGATTGGCTTGTCGTTCCCTTGGTCTTCCAGCCGCACGTCTAGCGAATCATTCTTTTATTAGGAGCTCGCTGGCGTAGCTCTGTGACTGAGCCTTCCTGCGTCCTTTGCTCTGTTTCCAGCAACTGGCTTGGACTTACAGCGACCTCTCCTCCTTCGCACAATATGGCGTTCCCTGTTGTTGACGGCGTCGAGGTGCTGGTGCAACCACCTGAAGGGTACCATGTCAACTTTACGCATCCATTCAAAGACACTGCGACGATCAACTCGAGCTACTGGGCTTTCGGTATCGAGTTCACTGTTGCCGTATTCTTCTTGGGCCAGCGAATCTATTCGGCACTGTTTATTCTTCGTAAATGGCGCATCGATGACTGTGAGTTGAAATTGGGGGGTTATGCACACCAGATGAACTGCCGCTGACACCAGCATATAGACATGATCGTGTTAGCATGGGTGCTAACCACGACTGCTCAATGTCTGATTCTTCACTGTTTAAAGCAAAGCGTTTTGGGTGTGCATATTTGGGAGATGTCCGTTGACGATGCTATCTGGGAGACAACGGTAAGGCACTAGTGATAGCATAACAGGACCCAAAGTATCGTATTCACATACTAACATGACACGCTGTCAGATGATTCATGCCACCACCCTGACCGTCATCCCGGGTACAATCCTCGCCAAGCTTGTGTTGTGCATTTTCTACTATCGCCTGTCGCCTATCACCTGGTACCGGTATGCCATCATCTTCACGGCCTTCATCACCATCGCCGCCTTCACTGCCGTCTGGTTCTCGGTCGAGTTTGCCTGCAAACCTATCGAGGCGGCATGGAACCTGCGTCTCTACACGGGCACCAACTGCATCGACCGCCCCCCCGTCTACATGCTCCAGGCCATCATGGGCGGCGTGACCGACATCATGCTCATGGTCCTCCCCCTGCCCATCATCCTGCGCCTGCAGATGTCGTGGAAGCAGAAGGTCGCCCTCGTCGCGTGGTTCGGCACCGGCCTCATCACCCTCGGCGCCGCCGTCGCCCGCCTGGTGATCCTGATCCCCAGCCTCAAGAACGCCGACACCACGTTCGTCCTGGCCCAGGGTACCCTGTGGCTGATCGTCGAGGCCAACCTCATCATCATCTGCGGCTCGCTGCCGACCTTCCGCATCTTCCTCAACCACGTCGCGCCCAAGATCCTCGGCGAGTCGCGCAACGCCAGCGGGCCCAACAACAGCAGCGACAAGGGGCCCGGCTCCGGTGGGATGCGGTACGCGCTGCGGACCTTTGGTAGCTCGCAGCCCAAACGCCGTCACTTCGACACCATCGACGAGCTTGAGCTCGGCGACAACCCCTATGGGTCGGAGGTCAGGTGGAAGGCTGAGGGCAAGAGTGACATGAACCGCACGCAGGATCGGAGGAAGAGTCACTCTGAAGCTAGCGATGAGGAGGCTATCATCAAGACGGTGCAGATGACGGTAACGCATGGTCCTCGATAGACCGAGAAGCAAGAAGGCGACACTAGTCTGGGAGGGTAAAAGATAGGGCAGTTATGTATACCGTGTCTCAAAAGTCGGGATCTATTGGCTCAGATAGAAACAGATGCCTGAAAGGCCGTATGCGAATTAACTAGTCATGACTTTCCTTCTCTCTGGCAACCCAGCTAAGATAATAAGACCGGTCCGTTGTTGTGTGGCAACTCGCCTTTCGAGTCTTCTCGAAACCTCCTGGACTGCATGTGTGGTTCGCGAAACCTGCATGCCGAATCCAACCCATTTCGCAATGAAGTGAATAAGTCATAAATATCTCTTTGTCTGTGTATTATCAAGGAATTCCATGAAGCATGCCCTCAGATCAACGAACCCATGGTACTCTGACTCGTTGGTGCCGAGTGGGAAATACCTGCGACACGGAGATCATGAATCTGGCGCTGATCCGAAACTATGTTCTGGAAGTATGGGTCGGTGAGCAAGATGGGATGTTTTGATATGTTGCGCTTATCGTTCTTCTGCAGTCGAGAAATATCATTAAATAGAAGTCTAGAGTCCAGAAATAGTGACATTTTCTCAGCAAAGCACCAACTTTCCTTGCCTTCATTGCTTAAGAAGTTCGCATGCAACCACCGAGCCCAATGCAGCTCTCATTCCATCTCACACTATTCCTGTTTGCTGCGCAAGTAGCTGCATGTACCAGGACATCAAAACATCCCAGCTTCACTCACTGGGTTGCTACTTTGGAACCGATAAGTCTCGTCAAAACATCAGCCCGGTCTGTCATGCTAATTGTGGCAGGGAACCGATATTGGGGACGTTTGCGAGGGTATCAAGTATCGGCGTCGGGCTTTTCGATGTGGTGAAAGGATATACGACCTCGAAAATAACCGACAAGCAATTACCATCGACTGTGACGACAGACCTTGTTTGGTACATCACGAGAAGGTCGCGAAGGTGGAGGCGGATATCAAGTATTTGTTCAAACTGTATCACACCAACACAAGAAACCCATGAATTAAAAGGGTTTGAATCGAAATAGCTCAAACAGAACATATCTTGAATTGAACTGATCTTGGTTTAAACTGAACCAGTTAAAGAATGATTAGTATAAGTGAACATTCTCCTTGATTTGTAGATAGACAGCTACAGAGTGGACAGATCACCCTTAAATGGAATTTGCGCGTAAAGGGACTTGCAATTGCACAGAGGTTGGTCACTGAGGCTGAGGATAGACATACGAGTTATGCTAGGCAATTGAGACTTGTTTACGGAGGCCTATAGGGCAGACTGTGACAAAACCCATTTTTTAATGTTAGGTCCACCCTATTATATATGGATTGTATATTTTTAGTTAGATAAATACATATACTAAAAACCCTATATCTATATCTATAAATTCTAAATTATATAATAATATATAATATTACTTATATTTATATAGTACTTCTTATCTTAGCTAGTATATCTAGAGAGGTCTATCTAGTCTTTCTTTAATTATATTTAAGATTAAAGAATATTAATCTAATATAGAATAGTTATTCTTATTATAGTTATTTATTTAATTAAATATCTTAAGTTATTAATCTTATTTTATTATTATTTAAATTATTATTTATTTAATAAAAGTATAGAGAATAATATATATTTAGCTTAATTAATTTTAGTATATATTCTTTTATAATAAAAGAATTATTAGGCTCTTTTATATAAGTAATAATCTTTATTATTTAAGATTATTAATAAAGTATTTAAGAGATAAAGAAGATAAAATAATCTCTTATATAGTTAATTAAATTAATATTATATTTTAATATATATATTTAGATAAATATTAAATATATTTAATCTAAATAATATATAATTATTAATAAGATTATTTAATTTTAATCTTATATTATATTAATTAATTAAGAGTATAAGTTATTAAAGTTACTTATTTAAGATCTTCTTTATTAATTTCTAATTAAGAATAAATATTATTTATTTAGCTAATAATTTATTAACTCTTATACTAACTTTAATATTATTAAGTTATTATATAAGCCTAAGAAAATAACTATATTATTATATATATTTAATATTATCTTATTAAGATATATAAAAGATATATATATTCTTATACTTATTAATAATTAGCTTATAAATATAGAAGTTGAATTAAATCTTTAAGAGATAAAGAATATATAGAGATATATTAAGAAGAAGAGGATAATATAAATTAAGATAAAGAAGAAAGAGGTCAATAAGAAATTATTAAAGATTAAGTAGGAATAGCTATTAATTAAGATTAAGATTATCTTAATTAAGAATAAATTAAAGACTTCTTCTTAGATTAAAAAGAAGATTATTCTTTTTATAATAAATATATAAAAGACTACTTAAAAATATAGTTAGTTTTAGATTATTTTATATAATATAAAGAAGAAGATTAATATTATTAATAGTATAGAGATAGATTAAAATAATTTTATTTTATTTAATTTAATTTAGCTTATTTAATCTTTAAATTAATATCTTTATTTAATTTAATATTTAAAATAGATATATTAATATTATTTCTATTTAAAAACTATTAGATATAATTAAGACTACCTATAGTTAAAGATAATAGACTTAATATTAAAGAATATTATTTATCTTTATATATATAAAGCTATATATAAAGATATAGATATTATTAAAAATATAATAATATTTATTCTATAATTAATAATATTATAAAAAGTTAATTAAATTAATATATAATTTATTAATAGATCTCTATTATTAAATCTAAAAAATATATATCTAAATTAATATTATCTTATTTAATAATAGATAATAATTCTTATAGTTATTTTAAATTAATTAGAATATAATAGTTCTTATATAGCTTTAGATTAGATAAATAATAAAGAGTCTATAATATTTTAGAGAGTATATAACTTTATTAATATTATATATAAATAGAATAAGAATTCTAAAGTTATATAAAGTAGGTAAACTTATATTAAATTTATAATATATAAAGAAATAGAAGTATAATTTAATTATAAATTTAATTAAACTTAAAAAGCTCTTCTACTTTTAGTTAGCTAAAGAAGTTCTATATTATTAGTTTATATTTAATTAAATATAAATAGAATTATACTTACTTATTAGAATATTATATAATTATTATATAAATATCTCTACTAGCTTTTAATCTTAATATTTTAAATATTCTTACTATATAACTAGTAATTAGTAAATATATAAGACTTCTTATTATTATATTTAAATAAAGTAGAAGAAAGCTAGAAGTATATTTCTATAACTAAGATTATCTCTATATTATAATTAAAGTAAATCTAATAAGATAAGAAATAATATTAATTAACTATATATATATATTATATAAGTATATTCTATATAATATAACTAGAAACTTTAATATAGAACTATAGAATAAATTATAAATATATATTAATTATAATATATATATTAATATTATATTTATTAAGCTTATAATATCTATCTATAGATTAGATATAGTTTAATTTAAGATAGATCTAATCTTTATAATAATAATAGGCTCTATATTAATAATATTTAATCTTAGTTAGAAAAAACTATAAATAGATCTAATAAAGAAAATTCTAAGAAGTATTATATAGATATTAATATATATATATATATAGATTCTAATAATCTAAAGAATATATAAGATTCTCTATCTTTAGTTTAATCTAGAAGAAGATCTTAAGCTAATATTATATTTCTTTAAGCTATATTATATTAAATTATTAAAAGATATTTAAACTTCTATAGATATTAATTAAGTTATAAAGAGAGATTAAAAAACTCTTATTCTAAAGTTATTAAAGTATTTATAGATTTAAAAGACTAACTTTAAAGAAGAGTGCTTTAATTTAATTCTATAGCTTAATAGTTACTATTATTTAAACTTATTAAGATTTAATATCTTATTATTAAAGATATCTTTAAAGTATTTAAGAGCTAATTTTTAATTAGAATTATTAATTAAATAAAGTTTTAATATATTTAATTAAAATATTAAATAATATAAGATTAAGAATATATATATAATATATATATAGATTTATAAATAGATAAGCTATTATTATTAGATAATTAAAAGTATATAAATAGATATAGCTTTATATAAAGTAGAAGAGATTTAATTAATAAAGTTTTATTATTATATAATAAAAACCTATATATATATTAATATTAAACTAATTAATTATATATAGTTTTAATAAAGAAAAAAAAGTCTTATTATTAGTTATATAAACTTAACTAATCTTATAAAAAAAAATCTTATTATTAATATTATATAGATTTAAATAACTTTAAAAATCTATAAAGATATTAATTCTAATTAGATTTAATTAATATTATTTAATAATAGATAATACTTCTTATATCTATATATAATAATCTTTTTTAAAATCTATATATTATATTAAGTAAATATATATAAGCCTATATTACTTCTTTTTAAGAGAATATTAATCTTATCTATATAGACTTATTTAGTTATAAATATATCTAATTAAAAAGATAGTTTTAAATATTACTATATATTTCTATATAATTATAAAGTAGCTAGTTCTTAGATAAATTAATATCTATATTCTTATTACTTTAATAAGATTTAAGTATATTTTTAATCTTATTTAAATAGTATTATAAGATATTAAATATAATTAACTTAATACTTAAGAAGCTTAAATAGTTCTTATTATTTTATAAAGAATATTATATACTCTTATATAATATTAATATACTCTTATCTTTTATTTTATTTAGTATTTATTAATATAACTTTAAATAATATTATACTAATATATATTAAAATAAAATAAGTATTATATTACTTAAGATAATACTTAATAATTTATATAAGCTTAATTAGACTTATCTTTAAATCCTATAATATAAAGTATATTAAGACTATAGTTTTATTTTAATATATATAAATTATATAGCTTTATATAAACTTATTTAAAGTATAAATTATA